ACAACAAATTATACCACATATAGAGGTAAGAGATCTGGAGATATTAGTTCACGCACAATACTCGGAGAGCCAAAAAAGTCAAAGACTAATATTATTACTAAAATGTTAATATCCCTCTTACATCATTATACAACAAACAAATCTTATAGATAAGCTCTCAATAACTATATCTCACTATTATCTTTGACATCACTTCTCACTATCACATTAAAGCCTAACATTCACATATTATCGCATATCAGTTAACACTGGAACTTGAAAAGACAATATTAATTAAGTAATCTAAAATCAAGTGGAAATTGATCTAAACATGAATGAATCTCAAAACATAACTATATCTCTGGTTGACTCCTACCGTATTTACGGGCAGCATATTGCGGAATATATAATGAACTTCATTTCCTCACTTGTTAACCACTGCTGGTTATCTTTATTGTTCTTTCTCTCCCAAAAAATGGGTATATATACATATTCAACTACGCTTAAATTAGTCTGAATAAAAATCTCACTATAGATAGCACACGTTCATTAAATAAGTAAAGCCAGACACTCGCATTTGTAAAATATTTAAATAAATATTTTTTGACGACCAATAAGAAAAGCATATAATAACTTGATAGTGACAAAATGTATAAATTAAAAAATCTATAAATTATTACCGATCCTCGTTATAGCATAGATCTCAGCTAGTAAAGACCTGAACTTACACGCAAAGAATATGGTCAATCTGACTTAAATCTCTATATTTGGGTCAGGACAAGAGATCGAATTAATGTGGCGCTCGGGTGAAATCGAGTCTTGCAGTATTTGTGCTAAATATCTCATCATTACACTTCACAAGATACAATAATTCAAGATCCTGAATATTATGCTTAACTCTATATACTAAACATATGATTGTACGAGATAATTATTAACAAAAATTATCGAAGCGATGTTAATCGATATATCATATAAGATTATAACATACTAACGAATCGGAACCAGGAGATATCTCACGACGAATAAATGAATTTTTTTTTGCTAAATAATTCAAAAATAATCAAATAGATTTTTATAAGAATATTCGACCGGAATCCCAGAAATTTTTGCGCCACAGAAAAACTCATATACTAAGTTCTTCTCACGATTTTCAAAGCACGACAACAATTTATGCCCTTTTGAGGGCGGTGGGGGAGGTTAATTTAGAGAATTTTTTAGAATAAATCTCGATTATTTTCATTCTCCTACAATCCTCCCTAGATATCAATCCTACTAGCGACACGGAGTCGAAAAGGATGAATTTTCAAAATTAAACGATAAAGTATAAGAAAAATTTAACTCAATATATGCAGGCATAGTATTATTAGCTTGAATTTTGAATTAATAGAGTCGAAAAATCGATAAAAGATAACAACAGTTTCATAGAGTAATATTTCATGACCTCGACAACATGATTTGAATTAGTAATAGGTATTCTGATTCAGACTGGGTAACAATTTTTTGCGCTTGTCCAAGAATTCTCATAGGGATAATTATGACTCGCTCTGTGTTCTCGGATGAACTCTCGAGTGTATTAGGGTGATAACATATTTTGGCCCTGTGTAGACTACCGTGTTGTTGTTAGAGCAAAGAGAATTACACAAACTAGGGTAAGTAAGAAATCTATTGAGAATCACATAATTGCCACTTATAGGATATCTGCGATTCATCATATGATGCGTGACATGGTTAGGGAATAAGTCTATGTCAAATTGGGGAGAGTTCATATATTGATGTATAAATATTCGAGTGACATTTAGGTATGGACAAGATTATTTCAGTCGATAAAAAGCTTAATGTTATCTATTATCACGAAATACGTTTGTGATAAATCATTATGAATATTTTTATTGTGACCTATTGATGAGTTCGCCATATTGTCATCATAGATTCGTTGACGTTTACTGCAAGTACATTTGTACTGCAATGATAGTTGTATAGCGTTGTTGTTAAAGAGCTAATGACACCGTAGATTCTATATAGAGTTAAGTGATTAGGAAGTATTGCTAATATTGGACTATTGGTTTCTTACTTATCTGTGAAGACACGTTGGCTAGTGGTCCACACTCAGTCATCAGTCATATTGTATTTAGATATTTCACAAAGAAAGAAATACACAATTATGTATTCTACTTTTTTTAATTAATATGCCAAAGAAAACAAATGAGACGTTTCATGATTATTTTTAAAAAATTTATTATTCTAATCCCTCAGTTTATTATAACGTAATTTATTTTTAAATTTCTCATGTCATGTGTCTGACTATTCAATGTGATACTATTAATATTAATATTCAGTCCATTTATATTCACTCGGTGTAATAATTAATATCCAGTATATTATTACTCAATGTTCAATTTATTTACAATTCAACAATAATTGCTCAATTTAAGGAGATAATGCAAAATCTATAGGTGAAGTAATATATTATTATTCTAATTTATTTGTCTATTTTGATATCGTCGTGAACGGTAAAATTTGTAAACTCAGATTGTAAGTAAATGATAATTTTCGTACTCAGCAAATAGAGCTCTGACCGATAGTGATACAATCTCATCAGTTATTGAGAGATCTGCATCAGACCATGACCCAACATTGTCGTAACTGATGCGAATCTCGAACCATTGACACGTCTCTGATGCAGCAGCCGACTCGAATCTTGCACTTGGCTTTTGAGGAGATGCACGTATGATTGAGCAGTTATGAGACGAGGAATGAGACGCCAGAGTGAGATGTTGGCAGTTAGCAGAACTTGTGCTGAGTACGTGAGAAGATTCAAGAGTCTACTAGATGGCATGGCTAATCTACAGAGTGTCCAATTAGCACCAGTTGTTAAATTCCATTGTTACCGCTACAGCTTTTTTACGCCGTTTTTATATAATACTATTTGTTAGGTGCCTACTTTCATCTCGGCGCAACCTAATCACACAAGCTCATAAAAAGAAGAATGAGAGAAAAAAAGTAGCATCCCTAACTCATCTAACAGTGAATTTACCGACCCGAATCCATGATAAACAATCTGTCACTAAAAACTCTCTGCGAGAAAATATGGGAGTTCACAGACTCGAATATAGATTAATACTTTTTTATTCATTTCATTCGCCAATAAATAGATAAACACAATTTTGCAAATATTGCGATACCAATTCTAATAATAAAATAACAAATGTGGTATCTCTTGATGGTAAATTGTGCTGAATTCAAGACTAGATCATATAGCACGGATAAGTTCTTTTCAGAAAACTAACTCACACTCATCATCCCTCGACTCGAAGCAGCATAACTCTGTGCTTAGTGCATAAACGCAGAAATGTGCTCACAGGCACAAGAAATCCAAATAGAAACCCCGAGAATATTAAAAAGCGTCCAAACAATTATCCTTCGTTTTTTTCACTTATTCTTTGATAGTTTTAATCTTCCACTTCATAAATTTGATAGTCAATATCGCTTCCTCGACAATAAGTGTTTTTACAACCTATGATTCATCTCATATAACCTTAAATAAGTAGAATCACTAAATAAAGTGGAATAACCTTGTCGGTCTATGACTAGTATTACCTGGTTCGTAGAGATAGTCTTTGAAGAGTTGTAGGAACATGGAATGATTTATTGTGTAGCAGGAGGGTGTTGGTTATAGTGTCGCTTTAGTTTGCTCAACCCACACCCCTCGGTTAAAATTTTATGATAATCTATTATTGTGCTCGGCGAATTCATATACATTGTGTACTGATATGATTAGCATGATAATAATATATTTTGGATGATGTGTCTACTTCATATGAGCCCATAGTGTTTTTTTTCCATTCTCACACGTCTTACTACTCGTCAAAAAAATTAGTTCAGTTAAAATATATAAAAAATCCATACCAATTCAATTTCCAACTTTCCAAAGTCAATTTTTGCGCACTCGAGCAAATATACCCTGAAATTGTGCTTCAGTGTGGCGTGGTGCTCTATGAGAAGTAAACCAACCATAAGAGAGAGAGAGAGAGAGAGAGAGAGAGAGAGAGAGAGAGGCGTTGAGATGGGTACCTGAGAAGATTCAAGGTCTTCTAGGGATAAATAGGTCATTTATTACACTTTTAAGTTTTAATCTATGTGGCATCTTATTTGGCGCCTAATCAACAACTAAAAAATAAAAAAGTAGATCCAACCATCCTACAGTGAATTCCGACAATCCATGTAAACAAATTTCACTTAATTGCAAAATTATTGGGAGTTCAAACATTGAATTGTACACTTTTTTTTCATTCATACGCCAAAATAAAAAAAAATTGCAAAATTCATACACCAAAATTACAATTATCTCTTGATTTAATGTATAAATAGATCCATACACGGATAAGTCTTTCAGAAAACTCAACTCCACATCTATCCTGATCGAAGAAAAACGGTAAGCACAGCAAAATGTAAAACAGAACCATAGACGGTTAAAACGTCAACATATCCTTCGTTTTTTCACAATCTTGAAGTTAACCACTAAAATTTGATGTCAAACGTTATAAATAGTGTTTTTACAACTATTATCTCATAAAAAATAAGTAAATACTAAATAAAGGAAACCTGTCATGATTTACCTGTCGGATTAGAAGGTGAGGACATGAATGGAGTTATGAGCAGAGGGGGTAGAGGTGGAGTTGCCATAAACCACCCCCTAAATCTATGAAATCTAATGCTCCAATTCAATCATTGTAGTGAAAAAAAAAATTAGGTAGTCTCTCTCTACCCATAGTTTTTTCTTCTCCACGTCTTACACGTTTAAAAAAAATGTCAGTAAATAAAAAATCCAATTCATCCAACTTTCCAAAGTCAAATTCCACCCGAGCAAAATCCCAAATTGTGCTCAGTTGTCATGTTCCATAAGTAACCAACCAATTGCCAATAAGAACTCAATAAACATGGTAAGGTAGTGATGTCATTAGTTTCCATTTATTTCTCATGAAGATCAAAAGAATAGGAAAAAAAAAAAAAAAGGAAAATTTGATAGATGGATAAGCTACATTTGATATGCAACAAGGACAGAAAACAGTTTGGTTTTAGGAATTCATAATTCTAGTTATAAAGTTGCATATGAAAGGAAAAAAAAATACATAATTGATATAATTGAATGGAAATGTATGGAAAAAAACATATAGACTCTGCTTTCACCTCAATAGCAACGCAAATTGTCCCAACTAAAATGGGAAAGCAAGAAAAAATGGCAATAGTTTAAGAATGTTGAAGAATCAAATTGATTGTCTCAAACTATAACCGGTTGATGCGCAGCCATGACGAGCAAACCAATCACTGTCATGTTTAAGCTACAGCAGGCATGTCCTTGAGCCATGCATCAAGTGGCTTACCAATTGAGTATACAATGAAACCAATCTCCCTCAGCTGATCCGCATTCACAACGTTCCTTCCGTCAAACACGAAGGCTGGCTTCTGCATACTTTCATAAATCCTCTTGTAATCAAGAGTCTTGAACTCGTCCCACTCGGTCAAAATGCAAAGACCATGGGCATCTTTTGCTGCCTCATATGCATCCCAAACTACGCTCACTTGCTTCACAGTTGTAGGGCTCATTGGCTGGAGATGGAGAGGGTGATCCCAATCAAACTTGTTCATGGTCAGGTCTCTTTGAATCTGGTCTATGGTCACCTGTGGGTCATAGATGCTCAACAGGGCCTTATCTCCCAAAAGCCCCTTGCACACATCAATAGCTGGGGTCTCCCTTGTGTCACCAGTATCCTTCTTGAAAGCAAACCCTAGGATGGCAATCTTCTTATTTGAAACTGTATTAAACATAGAGGAAACAACACGGTTCACGAATCGGTTCTTTTGATAATCATTGATCTTGATTACTTGTTTCCAATACTCTGCCACATCTGGAAGGCCATTGCACTCGCAGATGTATACAAGGTTCAAAATGTCCTTCTGGAAGCAGGACCCACCAAAACCAACGCTAGCATTCAAAAACTTGGGACCAATTCTAGTGTCCTTGCCAACAGCATATGAAACCTCGGTAACATCTGCCCCAGTTGCCTCACATAGTGCAGACATAGCATTAACGGATGAGATCCTCTGGGCCAAGAAGGCATTGGCTGCAAGCTTGGACAGCTCTGCGGACCAAAGGTTGGTGGTTAGAATGCGATCTTCAGGTACCCAATGAGCATAAACATCCTTCAATGCTTTGATGGCTTCTTGACCTTCTGGGGTTTCCCTTCCTCCAATAAGAACTCTATCTGGGTTAAACAGATCGCTGATTGCAGTTCCCTCAGCAAGGAACTCTGGGTTTGAGAGGATCTGGAATTTGATCCCCTTGCTGTTGTGGGTCAAAATTTTTTCAATTGCCTCTGCCGTCTTAACTGGGACAGTTGATTTCTCAACCACAATTTTGTTTGACTTTGAGACATCAGCAATCATACGCGCTGCACTCTCCCAGTATGTCAGATCAGCAGCTTTACCAGCCCCCAGTCCGCGAGTTTTGGTCGGAGTGTTGACAGAAACGAAGACTATATCAGCCTCAGAGACATGTTTCTCCACATCAACGCTGAAGAAGAGGTTCCTGCCTCGGCACCGCTTCACCACGTCATCAAGGCCTGGCTCATAAATGGGCAGCTGGTCACTGTTCCAGGCATTAATCCTATGTTGAGAGATATCAACAACAGCTACTTCAATCGACGGACACTTGAGTGCAATGACTGCCATTGTAGGCCCACCGACATATCCTGCTCCAATGCAACAGATCTTCACCATTTTTACCTTTTTCAAAGTGTATTACCTGAAACATAGCAAATCCATACAAATAAGCCAGCAAGAACAATAACAATGCACATAATTGATTCTCGGATCTTTCACCAGCAACTAATCCGCTTTTGCATAAAAAATAGGAAATAACAGAACTTGATTCAGTATCTGAAAACTAATAAAACAATGAATTTGAAATCTAATGTTGAGCAACATATTCCTCTCAAACTAAATTAATACAATCCCATCAGTTTCATCGACTGTTTCGGACATGAAGTTATTTTTTGAGAGTGAATATTGATTCAGAATCAAATATTGACGCCTACAAGAAATGGTTTACAAACATAAAGTTTTGTGGACTCCATTCAAATCCCAAAATGACAAAAACAATATGGAAATAAAAGAAGATCCAATGAAGCATTTTTTGTGATATGAGTCATAATTTCACAGCAACAATAATTCAAAATAGATAAATAAAAGAAAGCAACGAAACTAGAGCTAAAACGTCGAGATCGAACCAAATTACACAATTAGGCAAGATCAAAGCGACAAATCTAGCAGAATTCAAATTTTTTTTTTAAAAGAGCTTAATCTTACAAAGTTTGAAAGAGCAAAATTGTCAAACAGATCCATACATCAAGATTACTTGATTAATACTTGAAAATTGAAACATTAATCACTAAAAAAACAGCTAATTCAGCATTACCGACAAATAAAAATCACAGATCGAGAAGAAAAACACGAAAACGCTAATAGATCTAAAAGAATCCATGACCGAATAGCAGAAATGAATCCGTACCTTTCGCGGGAGAAAATCTAGAGAGAAAAAATTGGCTTTTGCCTAGTTTATTGCAGGAACTGGCACAAGAAGAGAGCGGGTGCGGGTGGGTTTAAATACACATGGCGAATCCGAGAAATACCCCTTTTAAAATGACCAAATTGTTATCATTATGATTATTATTATTGCTGTTTCGGTTCGGTTCGGTTGAAAGGGAGCTCTCTAGCTGGTTTGGGGAATGGCATAAAAGTAAAAACGGCGTCGCGGACAATGGATTTACAATGGTGCCCTTGGACTTGGAACATGCATTTTCCTACGCGTTTTCAAACAATGGGCGTTTACCTGTAAAGCAATAGATTCCAAACCCTGAGGTTTCGTAGATTTTGCTGTTGGCAGTGCTACAATTCCCTTCCTTCTTCTTTTTAACGTGTCTATGGGTAATGACATTTATTAAATTCTTTTTTTTTTTTTTTGCATATTGAATTATATATATATGATTAGATTTGTTTAGACACGATGTCCAGACAAAATCAATAAAAATAAAAAATTTTTAAAATATCATTCTCACTTTATTTTTTTTTTTTTTCAATGAATGAACATAAATACCTCATTTAAAAAATATATATTTTTTATTAATTTGATTTATGAATAAAACCATATTCATGAGTCAAGCTATAAATCAAGTCTGGACAAATCAATCTCATATATAAATATATAATTAGTAATTTGTGTGATCTTAGCAATAGTTTCCTTTGTCATGATATTTATGTGAACTCTCATTCTAGATTTTCCACATTGCACTTGATGTAACTAGATTTTTCTTATATTTTATTTTTTCTAAAAAAATTAATTATGAAAAGTATAATGAGGAGCATTTACCTCTGTTTGGAAAGAAAATGAATTAAAATAATTAAAAGATTAAAATAATGAAAAAAATAATAATGAATTGTTAATTTTTTTTATCGTTATTTTTCACTCTTGTGTTTGGATAACGAAGGAAAGAAAATAAATTTATTTTCTTTTATTCAGAAAAGGCAAAATTTTGGAGGAAAAAATTGTCAATATTTATATCTTATCATTTTAACCTCACTTATCCTTTTAGATGACTTTAATGATTATAAAAATTGTCAATATTTAGTTAAAAGTAATCTGTGTATTTAGGTAATTGTATAAAAATCGAAGACATTTCACCATTATTTCCTCTCCCAAATGTAGAGATTCATGCTATTTATGTGAGACGAGGAGGAAAATAAATTAATTTTCTCTTCCTTCATTATTTTTTCTTATTTTTCAAATAAAATAAAATTGCCTTTTACAATTATTTTTTTCAACTATTTTGATTCCTTCAAAAAAATACCTCCATCCAAACAGAGTATTAACTTAAAATTAGAGTATTTCTTAGTAAATCACAAAGGAAGTTAAATATATTGAAAAAAACATAAATAAACATTTATTTTGGTTCCATTAGGAGTTCCATAATTTTATTTATTTTTACTCCATTTTTATTTATCACTTTAGAAAATCAAAGAAGTATTTATTATTTTTTCAATTTTAATCTCATTTCTTGGTACATTAATTATTTAGAAAATCAATAAAATGGTAATCAATTACAATTATTTTTTAAAAAATAAATAGTTAAATAATTTTCTTAATTTACATGAAATAATGTCACTTTTAATGAAACAATCAAGACAAGGAAAAACAATCCCTGATGTGAATTAGAACGTAATAAATAATTATAATACAATCGAGTTAAAAAATGTACTTTCATATATAGACAAAATTATCAATTAGTAGCAAAATAACCATGAAAATAATATGGTGAGTACTTCAAAAGTTTATGAAAACATGCATCATAAATCATTTTCAAACAAATCAAAAACTTTTAATGAATTAAATTTTGGGGCAAAAGAGTAAATGAGGGAATAGTGACATTGTCCTTTTTTTGTCTAAAAATAAAAAAAAACAATAGAGGGAAGAGAAGACAAGCAATTTCATAACTATATTTTTTTTATCATACCAAATGACGAAACTAGCATTTGTTATTATTGTGGTTTCTAGTTTTCCGTTTAATTTTGATAAAAATAAAATGAAACATATTTATTTTAAAAATGTTTAAATTTACTTTTTAACCTTTTTGAAAATGGTTTAAAAAACAGAAAACGGATTTTATGAAACTATAAATTGTGGTTTACGCTATTTTTTTTTTTCATTGATAAACTTTTCTTCTTATCTCTCTTACAAGTCTCTTAAATTTTGGATAAGCTTCTCTCTTTTCTCTTTCTTCGTAAATTCTAAAATTTATATCACATTGAGATATGTTTCAAATCGAATGTTTTACTCTATATTTGAATCTATTATTTTATCTAAACTATTCTTTTTTTGTTTTCATCACAATTTATTACTATACAACCAAAATCTACAGAAATTGGTTTTTCAGTAATAAACTAACTATTGAAAAGCCCTTAAAAGAAACATATAGTAGTGGCTAAAAAAATATTATTAACATACAGGGGAAAACACAGCTCATGAAATAAAACAGTTCTCAAAATTTAAAAATTAAAAATCAAAAACAGTTTACTATTTTTTAAAAACAAAAATTAGTAACGAACAACCCTGAAATTTTTCAGCCAAGGAATGATAACTACCTAACAGTTGTGTAGGAAATTGTTTTTTTTATTTATTTTTTCTTTTTTTCATGTGCATTGAAGAGAGAGAAGGAGCCTTAAAATAGTACAATTTTCAGGTATGCAAAAGAGTGCTTCAAAACCAAGCATTAATTTGCTTCAGAATTCAGGCAATGTTGATTGTCATTCAAGCTATATAAATTTATAAAAAGAAGTGAATAAATGATTTCTCAAAAGTTCATCATAATGATAGTTCTTATTATATATATTCAAGCGTATATAAATTTATTAAAAAGGAAGTGAATAAAAATGATTTCTCAAAAAGTTCATCATAATGATAGTTTCTTATTATAGTATATATATATATATATATATATATATATATATATTTGCTATTTAACTCAGCTATTATAAACTCAATTTAAAGTTAGAATTGCATTTCTATTCTGATAAAGCAGCCACTTCTGTCCATGCATATTGTAAATCATGCTTTTCACAAATAGATCTTTAAATTTAAAAAATATATATATTAAAGTAAGTATTACAATATAAACTTGCTTTCATATAAAGTCTAATTTATAGCACCTTTAGACTTAAAAGGAAAAAAAAAAAAATTGAAATGAAAGATATAGGAACTACAAAGGATAAATACTCAAAAAGTTTACTATTGAGAGTTAATCTATAATTTGGATTGGGCCGAATACATAAATTCACCACTGAACTTTGTTATTTTGATTTTGTGACATGATCAATTTTTACTTTAATCCATTAAACACTTTAATTTGTAAAATTATACATATTCAACAGTTTAATTTTTAAATTTTATTTTATTAAATACTTTAATTTGCAAAATTAGATGAATTAAACACTCATTAAAAAATTGATATTTATAAAAATTATTATTCTAAAAGCCATGCTAACTACATATCAAGTCGATACGTTGCAGATAAAAGTCAAAAATTGTAAAAATTATTGATAATTAGTATTAAAATGTGTGCAATATTATCAAAATTTATAAATTTAAGTGCATAATAAATTATCTGCAAAGTTCAAAAGGCCACAAAATTAAAATTAGAATTAGACGTGAATTTATATATTCAGTCATTTGGATCGTATCCCTCTCTATAACTTGGGCTAATTTGGATGTGGGAGGTGAGTTGGTAGGTAACTAGTGTTGGATTTAATTTTCTATTGTGGGCTTAATACGTAAAATAAATACGTACAGCAGTCTAATTGTAAAATCAATTTCAAATGTGGTCTTGATTGTGAATAATTGACTATTGAGGTATCAACTGATTATGGGTATCAAACTGATCTATAGATTATTAAGTGTAGAGACCATTATATAATTTTCTATTTCGTTAAAGGACCGAATAGAAATTGTTACTAACGCTACAGGTATATAAAGGTCGTGGTCCCCAGAGGGAGTTGAATACGATTCAGTTTTTACGGTTCCTTTCGTACTGCTTCCGCTAAATCGATTCTTCAATTTCTCTGGAGCTGGCCAAACCTTAATTCGTACACATCAAGGATCGACGAAAACAACGATGTCAGGTACGCAACCTTTTCTTATTCAATCTATTTTGCTGAATCTAGTGGTTTGCACGATCTAGGTTATTGTGGAATTATTTGGATCTAGGTTATTGTGGAATTATTTGAGACTAATTTATAACAACTTGGTCATGTTTTGTTTTGAATCATATACTAAAATGTGAGCCTCATATATTCAACACCACACTTTTTTCCGACCTTTCAATTTTTGATATTTATATCTCTTATTTCTACACAAATATCGCAATATACTTATATTATATTATTTATTCCGATTTATTATAGTTGTGTGTTTTCAATTTTTTATTTATTAGAAATAGGAAACCATTTTTAGTTTTAATTATTGTTTCTTTAAAATTGTTATTTTTTTAAAAAATTATTTTTTCTTTTTTTGTTACATAAGGTGAAAATTCTTTCAACTATCAAATTTCTTCCTTATTTAGCTATTAAATATTTTAATTAATGATACAAATTTTAAAAATTCAAATTTTAAAAGCAAAATAATTTGAAAAATTCCGTACATTGATCATTTAAATTTCAAAACTACAGTAACCCTTGATTATTATGTATACGATCAATTGAAAAAGAATATAATACTCAAATAGTTTAAATAAATATCTGATATTAAATTTATATAAATAAAGAATAGTTAGAAAAGAAGAGCACTTTAAAAAAGATAAAATTAATATTGTATTTTAAATAAATAAATGATACTGGATTTGATGACATTAAATTTATATAGATAGAGAAGATAATAAATAATAATTAATAATTAATAATTAATAATAATATAATATAATAATAATAAAATATAATTTTAAATTTTAAATTATTTTAAACAAACATGCTATAATTTTAAATTAAATTATTTTAAACAAACATGCTTATTTTTTTAAATAATTTTAAATGAACATATACGGCACCTAAATTTCTTTAAAAAAAAAACTTTTTTTTGTGTTATTTTTCATTAGAAAGCTAAATAATAATAATAAAAAAAACAACACTTGATATGCACTTTAAGCCCTTTATAAAAATAGTTAAAGGTGCCCATGGTTATATTATTATTTTTTAGCTATTTTATAAATATTTACCTATTTCTAAAAGTTTAGATATAATTCTTCATGTAAGTTTGTGAATTTAAAACGGAATAAATTTGACTTTTCTTTTTAGGTTAAAATTCACAAAACATTAATAAAATTCAAATAAACCACTAATATTGAGTAGGGAAAATTAATTAGTTTTTAAACCTATTTTACAATAATGGGCATTTTAAATGCTTCCAGACAAAAATTTAAGAGTAATATTATATCGCCCTTAAGTTTTACTTAGAATATTAGTGAGAATTTTGATTTCAAATTACACTATTTAATTTTCGTATTCTATTGAATTATAATCTCGTTAAATGACTGTAAAATATAAAGATTTTTTTAAAGATAAGGGATAATTATACTTTTAATAGCCGATTTTTTTATATTTTTTTCTATTTGGTGTCTCAGTAGAAAACGATATATGATTGAGTGTTTTAATTTAAAATTTCTATTATTACCAAATTGAAATTAGTATCTGAACCAAATTGATTTAAACCAAACTAATTGGTTCGGCCATTTTCAATCGATTTTTACCATTTCAATTTGGTTTTAAGTCAACTGTTGAATTTCTATGAAATTGACTCAAACTAAATAAAAAATTTATCCAAATCGAACCTCTCTTGAATAACTGACCAAATCGAAATAAGTGAGTTCGATTTTTCATTTAATTTAGTCGGTAGTTCTGCACATTCCCAATAATAGGAATTGAAAATGATTTCATGTTGTGGCAAAAAGTTCAATTGGGTTATACTCATGTTTGGCTGGTAAGTCCAATTAATTTTTTTACATATATATTATTTTTGCCGAATACTGTTTATTTTCTGTTTATCTCATAATTAAATCTAAAAGACGAAAAAGAAGAAATGAAAATTTATCATAAATTCTTGAATTTTCAAGATTTTGGAATCGAGAGAAACTAGACTGTTAGTCAATAGGCCTAAATCAACGGTAATATGGTAAATAAGACCAATCTATGAGGGTAAGAAAACAGATTATAAAAGGAACGAGGTAGGTGTGGAGCATTAAATGGAGGTTAATAGTAGAATTTCTGAATATTTTCATATCAGCCATTGCTTATAATTTCTGAGATAGTCCAACTCAGTTGCCATGTTATTGAAAAATGGATTTCGCACGTGTGTAATTTCAATTCCGGTAGACTATGTCAACCACAGACGCCAAAATACACATTTTTAAAAATTAACAATCAATCATTGTAATTTTTCATTGAACCATCAAAATTAAAATTAAATAAAAATTCAGACAATAAAGATATACATATCCCTAAAAATAATGTAATTTTGAAATATTTATAAGGATTAGGTAGTGTAATTTTTGAAAGCCGAGATCTTATTATTGTATTTGACCAAACTATAGAGAACACATAAACTTTATTTTTCAGGATATTTCGATATTTTACAGCCATTTAATGAAAAAACTAACAATCCATCTTAAAATATAGTAAATTATAATACGGGGATTAAATAGTGTAGTTTTGAATATCAAGAGTCTCACTAGTATATTTAACCAAAGTTTAAGGACCATATAATAATTATCCCTAAATTCAAGCATTAGGGAGTTGGGATGCGTATAAGTTGAATTTTCTACATTTGTAATTCCGCATTTCTCCAACTAGATTAAATGCATACTCAACTTGTGCAATTTCGCAGTTGTCCAACGACATTTATACTCAACTTATAATGAATTAGGCAAATCAAATTCAGGGTTTTATTTTATTTTTTTAAAATTAGCTTTATATAGTTTTAAATTTTATTTTTTTAAAATTTAGCCTTTATATTATATATATATTATATATATATATATATATATATATATATATATAAATATGAAGGATGAGATTTAACTTTTTAAACTTCATACCTTTACTTTTTTTTTTAAATAAATTGATAAATCCTCTCCATTTAAATAAATCGAATAATTACTCGATCAATATTGGTAAAATATTATTAACATAAAGAGAAGAAAAAAAAAAAAAAAAAGGGAAGTGTATGTTTTTAGAAACAAATTAATGTCAGTTTTTTTTTTATATAAAAAAAAAAAAAAAAGGGAAGTGTATGTTTTTAGAAACAAATTAATGTCAGTTTTTTTTTATATAAAAAAAAGGAACAAATACATTTTATTTTTATAAAGTCAATTAGGTGTTATCTATTTGGTCTTGTCGTTAGTGAAAAAAGTGTGAGAAGTCATGACTTCCAATTCTTTCGATCATAAAAGTTTTTACCAATCTAACGGTTAAGGAAGAGTTATCTTTATTATTTAGTTTGACCCATTTAATAAAAGAATTTAGAAAAAATAAAAACAATCTTTATCAAGTAAAACAAACACAATCCTTATCAAACAAAAATCTCCATATCCCTCCTAGCCATAACGGTTGCTAAATTTATAAAAAAAGAGGAATAAATACATTTATTTTTCCGTAAAGAAACTAATTTAATCCTAAATTAATAGAGAAAATAATCTAATTAAGTGTTAAATTTATATGAAAAAAAGTCAATTAGATATGTTTTGCTTGATCTTTCGTTAGTGTGCGAAGTGAGAAATATCGATCTTATCAACCATAAAAATATTCACTAATTTAGTGGTTAAATGAAAAATTATCATTGTTGTGTAGCCTATTTTTATTATTATAGTTCATTAAAATTATCATGTTATTTCAACTGATTAAAATCATTTTGTCGGTCCATACCATTAACATCATCACTATTTAGGTTCGTTGAACCTTTGAACGGAAAAAAAAAAAAGAAACGAAAATAACAATTTTTGTCCAATAAAACAAACAAAATCCCTGTCAAACTAAAATCTCCGTATCCCTCCTAGCCATAACGGTTGCTAATCCAAATCGACACCACAGTTTAATCCCTAATTAGCGAATCAAACGGTCAAAACCCAAACGAAAATTTAAAATAATAATCCAACGCTGCGCAAGCCAGAACCCCACCATCAGGAAAACTAGCCGTTACAGAGAGCGTCCAAAACCTTTAACGTTCTTTTTTTCTCATCTATGATCTATTCATCATTTACGGGTTTCTCACTGATCAATCAAAGAAGCCTAATTCTCTCTTTCTCCCATCTCTCTCTATCGGAACCCTCAAACAAACAAAACCCAGAATTTCTGTTTTCTCTTACCGATTCATTTTTGTTTCTGCAGTTACTTTGAATCCATGGATTCGAGCACCAAGAATTCAAAATCAGTTACTCCTGTGAAAGATCCTCAAGCCAAGATTTCAAAAAATTCCGAGAATTCAAAAAATTCCGAGAATTCAAATCCCAATGTTTCCTATTCAAGTCCTAATGCAAAACCCACGAATTCCCCGATTACCAAATCTGCAAAATCTCAAAAATCAGCCTCAAAGAATCATATTATCAATCAAAGTTCGAATCTTCACTCTCCTAGAAACAAGATCAGAGAACGAAAATTTGTTGTGGCAAAGAAAAATTCGAAAAAGGAGAAAGCGAATTCAAATTCAACTGTAGAGTGCAAATGCAAAGAGAAATTTGGGGGAAACATAAAAAAGTGTTTATGTGTAGCTTATGAAACACTGAGAGCTTCACAAGAAGAGTTTTTCAAGAACAGGTCCATAGGAGAGAAAGAAGAATTGGAAGATAAAGAAAAGGAAAGTGGTTTTAAAGCCGACAGTGAAGTTGAAGAAGAAGAGGAGATAGAGAAAGGTTTTATGGCTCAAAAGAATGAGAATGAAGAAGATGAGAGCGAGCAATTGGAGCAAATAGGTATTTCTACAGTTAAGAGAAGGAGAGAAAGGTTGCTTGAACAAGCAAGAAGTAGTGTACCTGAATGTGGGAAAGTGATGCATCTGGTTCAGGCTTTTGAGAGGCTACGTACAATACCAGATCCCAAGGATTCTGATAAGAAGGAAGAGGAGGAGATTAAAGAGGACAAAAAGAAGGCAATGCAATGGGCATTGCCTGGATTACAGCATCCTAAAGTTCCAGAATCGCAGGATTCTCCTTCTTCTCTATGCCCATCTGATTTGTTTCTCACTTCTAAGAATCTAGGTTTGGATCCAAGGCTTTCTGTTTCCTCATCGTGGGACAGTAGTCAAGGCAGGTTAGTGGTGATTGTCGAATTTATTTTATTTAATCCTGCATTATTATCTTGCTTTTTGTGTATTTAGTGTTTAGATGTTGACTGGTATGCTCTGCCCCTTCCCCCCAAAAAATTGCAGTATTTCTAGCAGGACTTCTAATGGAGGTCGGAGAAGCCGAAGAAATGTAAGATTCTTTTGACCTTTCCAGGTTGTCTACTAATTTGGATACGTGTCCGTAGTCTTTTTACTTATTGATTTTGTTTCACTTTCTCTTTAGAGCTCTGAGTCATGCAGCACAATGGGTGGGAGGAGATGGAAGAAAAAGCAGCTTAAAATCACAAGTCAAAAGCCATTTAAGCTGAGGACAGAGGTAGATATTCTATAATGATGATTGCTCATGCAGTTTAAATCTTGTTTCTATATTTTTTTCCCATTCATTGTAAATTTTGGTGATCGGTTCTTATTACATTATAGCAAAGGGGAAAACAGAAGGAGGAAGAATTCATGAAAAAATTGCAGGAAATGATGACCGAGGAGGAGAAGCAGCGGATTCCTATTGCACAAGGCCTTCCTTGGACAACAGATGAACCTGAGGTGAGTTTGGGATTGTTTGTATAATCTGGACAAGGAGAAATCGGGAAAGAACTCAATTTTTTGATTATGCACAATGGTCATTTTGAGTATATGAAAGTGCACAAAGTCAAATGATTCTCTTTTGTAAAAATTACCCTAAGGAACTACCAAATTCAGCCTTTGATGTACTTTTGTAGTTCACTTACTTGAGGTTGGTCTGTGTCATTTCAGTGTCTTATAAAACCTCCAGTAAAAGAGAATACCAGACCCATTGACCTTAGGCTCCACAGTGATATTCGGGCAGTGGAGCGTGCCGAGTTTGATCACCAGGTAAATGTCTACTTATTTTAGTATCCCTAGCTGGAAATTTAGTGCTGATTTCAGTACATGCTCTGCTATTTTATGGTTAAACTATACATCTATGTAATTATGAATCTTGGTCTTTCAATTCTCAATCATAGCCTCTTGAGCAATACAATCTGTGTGATGTCAGGTGGCTGAGAAGTTAACCCTTATTGAGCAATACAAAATGGAAAGAGAGAGGCAGCAAAAGGTAAATTGAATAGAAAATCAATGATACCAAGTTGATGCTATTACTATCTGCTTTCAAATATTTACACCAGTTCTTTTTTATCCTATAGCTAGCAGAAGAGGAAGAAATACGCAGATTGAGAAAGGAGCTGGTTCCAAAAGCACAACCCATGCCCTATTTTGACAGGCCCTTCATTCCCAGAAGGTAAAGATTTTACGTTTGCAGGCCTATTGTAATGTCAAGCAATGCACTCCATTACTACATATTATATGAGAGTGCTTCCCTTATTTTTTTTTACCCTTGTCTTGATTCATTATGGGGGTGACCTTTAAAGCTGTTAGTGTAAGCGGAAAGTTTCTATCGATTAAAATTTAAAGTTTTGGCTTGTATTATTCTACTTGTGGCACATGCAATTCTGCAGCTTTCTTTTGCTGAATTGGGCTACTCATCCATTGCAACTTCAGTTTTTGTTTTTTTCATCGAACGAAAGCCTTGAATTCTGTATTTGCGTTTCTTCAGGTCAGTGAAGCATCCAACTGTGCCTAAAGAACCAAAATTTCACATTCCTCAGCAAAAGAAAATCAAAAGTTGTCTGTCGTGGAACGACATGAGCACCTTCACTTACCAAGAACAATGAGAAGCGTTTCTAGGCATCATAATTCCTTATCAATCTACTAAATAATGTTAACTGTGATTCTTCCATATTCTTATTGTACATGATGCAACTGATTTAGTTGCAATTTTGTGAACTCTGGTTTGTTTTTCAAGTATAGTGAAATTAATGAAAAACCGGCTGGGTAGAAAGTTCTCAGTTCAGTCAGATTTATCTATCTGCATTTTCATTCTCATTTTCAATATCTCTTTGAATTATTATTATTATTATCATTTTTTTTTTTTATACATTGGAAGGCTGGATAGGCTGAAATAACATTGCGATATAAACAAATTGGTAGTCCTTCCATGACTCACCAAATTGATGAAAAACACTTGTGATCGAGAATATTTAAACTCGAGACCTTAGTTGCACTTAATCGAGGCAAATCATGTGAACTACTTGGAAATTGAATTGTGAAGGTCCAGTTAATCATTGGCAAGTACTAAAATCATAAACCATTAAATTTTTTTTAGTATTTAACCAGTCATAAAATAAGAAAATTAATATTTGACTGTATTATTGAGCATTAAATTCTTGAAATAAATTTAAGACATTGTTTAGTAATAATTGAATTCCAAAAACTTTTGTGAATTTCATGATTCCATGTTTATTACTATTATGAATAAAAATAGCATTCATTTTAATACAATGAATTCAATATTGTGAAATTAAATAGGACTAAATTAAATTATACCATTTGCTAATGAATTCTATACAATCAAATAAGAGGTATGAGTCATACTATATGGAGTATTATTCCACATAAGAAAAATTATTCTATAATTAATATAAATAATTATAAATAAGAGTGATGATCTAAAAATAGAATTTGTAATACTAATTGTGAAATTAATAATTATCTTTTCATTTTTATTCATTTTTTATAATAAAATTTAAGGAATAAAGCGTAATTCACTCTTTGAATTTGTAATTCAAGATTAAAAAGTTATAAAATCTACCTTTTGACTAAGTTACCCATAGAACGTGCAATTCACACTTAAGTTGCCCTAAAAAGCCCAAATTCAAGTGAGAATCTGGACAAATTAGAGTAAATTGCACATAAATTATAAGTATTTATAAGTTTAAGGGGTAAATTGAGCCAAAAAATCAATTTTGTAATTTTTTTTTTTGAATAATAAGTTCAAGAAGGTGAAGTGGGTTTATTTCTAAATTTTATGTATTTATTCTATATTTAATGTATTTATTTAATTTTGATGATATTTAAAAAAAAAGGAAAAAACTTTATATACAAACGTTATAAAACATTTGGGTCGAAAACCTGGCCCAAAGAACTTCAAAAAAGACCAGACCCGTGAAAACAAGACTGGGCCAATCCGACAGAAAACACGAAACCCTAGTTATATAAGCACCATTAAGCAGACGAGCTGAAACCCTAGTGAGACACAGAGCCTATCTTTACCCTTTGCTCTGTAGAGAACGCCATCCGTGGAAAAATGGCGACCGCCAAGACTGTAAAGGACGTGTCTCCTCATGAGTTCGTCAAAGCTTACTCTGCCCATCTTAAGCGATCCGGCAAGGTATCGCATCTTTATCATTCTTCTTTCAGTTCGTTGTTATTTTATCATTTGATTTCTCACTTAACTGTATAGTTTTTGGGTTCTTGACCCAATTAGATCGGAGTAGGTTAGGTATTTAGTGTTGGCTGGCCATTGTGTTGTTTGGTTGATCTATAGATGTAAGCTATATGGTTTTTGCTCTGATTGGAATAGATGTTTAATCTGTGCACCAACTGGGTGTGCCAGGTTCGTGGGTTTGGGTATGTCACAAAATTTGCTAACATAATTTCTAGTTCTATTTGAGGGCTGAAGGTCAGAAACTACTTTTCCATTAACACTTGAAGAAGACATTTATGTAGATTTTAGTCAGCAAAATGCAATACACGCATATATGCAAATAGTACTAGCCTATTTGGATGTAAAATGTTCACCGGGGTTGATGTTATATGAGAGTTATTAGCTTTGTTTTTGGAGACAAATGAGATTGTTTTATATTTGTCATTACTGCTTTTTGAATTTTTGTTTATGAATTACAAAATTGAGATTTATTGTTTAATCTTTATATTTCATCGTCCAACAGATCGAGTTGCCTCCATGGACTGATATTGTGAAGACAGGAACACTCAAGGAGCTTGCACCTTATGACCCAGATTGGTACTTTGTTAGAGCTGGTGCGAGTCTTTTTTTTCTCTAATGATACCCATGTACATGCTTTCAGTATATAGTTATAAAGTTGGTGATGCAATTCTGAAGTAGATCTTTGATGATCTGTTTGCAGCCTCCATGGCGAGGAAGATTTATTTGAGGGGAGGCCTTGGTGTGGGTGCTTTCCGCAGGATCTATGGTGGAAGCAAGAGAAATGGAAGTCGTCCGCCTCATTTTGGAAAGAGCAGTGGTGCTATTGCTCGTCACATCCTGCAGCAATTGCAGAAAATGAACATTGTTGATGTTGACCCCAAGGGGTAAGTATTGAATTTCTCAAGGCCTGATTTTGCCTTGTCATCAAACTATAGGATCTTGATACTCATGATAAGTCATCATATGTGCTGATGCATATATTTTTTTTTTTTTTTTGCTATTGAACTAGTGGGAGGAGAATTACTTCGAGTGGTCAACGGGACCTTGATCAAGTGGCCGGACGGATTGTGGTTGCCCCTTGATAAACTTAAAGTTGGGTATGCTGCAGAATACCAATTTATTTTGGTAGTTTTAGCTTTCTGTTTTAGTCTATTGGAGAGATTTTACTGCTTGATGCTTAAACCATATTACATGTTGTGAAAAGTTTTGGGTTCAATTATTACTGTCTTTGAGATGAACATGGTTCCTCCTGCTGTTGCTTTTTATTTATAAAATTTATGGTTTAACTCGTTATGTTCAAATTTTTGCTTGGAAGAAAATTTTAAATAATTGTTTTGTATTGAGCTCTTGAATTACAGCAATTTCTTTATTCGCACTTAACAGTTTTAATATTACCAACTTACTTAATAGGCGAAATAAACTTTTATTCATTACATATTTAATAGAAATTTAATATTCATAATATTTTGGCTAAGGCATCATTATTATTGAAAAACTCTTAGCGTAAAGAAAAAACTAAAATTAAGGTTCCGTTTCTTTTTGTAAAATAATTTGCTGGTAAATGTTTTCATGAAAAATATTTTTCAAATAATTTATTTTTCGCTGTTTATTTGTAATATTGAAAAATAGATAAAAATATTAGAATCTTTATCTCATAAGACTATTAAAATATTAATAATAATTGAAATTTTATAATTTAAAAAATTTATTGTTAAATATGAAAATAATGCAAAAAGTTATATAAATTATGGAAGTTGAGGTGGTAGTGATTATAATGATTAATAAATTAAAAAATGTAGATTTATAAAGTTTGTCGATATTTATAAAATGTTTTATTCTTTTGAATCTTTTGAAAATGGAAAATTATTTTTTTAAAAAAATGAATTAATTTTCCTTTGATCAGAAAAATATTTTCTTCTTATTTAATTTTCTGAGTATTCCAAAAAATGAAAAAATATTTTTCTGAAAATTATTTTATAGAAAAATATTTTTCTGAAAATTATTTTATGAAAACAAAGGAGCTCAAACGATGCAAACCAAATAGTGTTCATTAGCCCATATATCAACCTCTACCGGAGTCATCCTTGCACGAGTGATAATAGCCTCTCTAACTTGCATTTCAACATTATTGGGTATTATGACAACACAGAAGTTTGCTGCTCCCTTTTCTTGGATCTGATTGCCTAACTCCACAACAGAAGTAATTGGAATGTTTGGAAGTGGTTGACCATTGATACGGGGTCTGTCAATGAAGTCAGACCTTCCTCCTACAACATTTTGGAGTGATGATTCGAGTTTGGATTTGCCTATATTCTTCAACAGTTGGAGATTCTATATCCAATATGAGTAGTATTTGGAAAGCTTCTAAGATTAGTTTGCATAAAAGTAATCAACGGTTGAGCTGATATAATTTGGATATAAAACACATCTCCCATCTTGCATATCAATAAGGATCTGTTGTTTCTTTTTGTTTGATAATCTTAAGTGGGTTTGATTTTGTTTCCAATTAATTGATGTTAATGCATATTTAAACGCTCAAACGTAACAAAATAGGTATGATTATCCATTCTCACGTTCAAGTATAATAATCATTTGTTAGTAGGTAGAAAATGTAATAAGAAATCGGAAGAAATGAGACTTTTGCATAAGTTCACTCTAACAAATAGTCACTGATTTTGTTTGGAGAAGTTGATCCCATCTTCAATTTAGGAATGATGATTTGAGATGGACATGGACATGTATCACTTAATAATAATTAATATCATCAATATGTTTTTGAGAGGGTAAAATATTTTTTTAACATATAAAGATTAATTATTATATTTTAAAACATTGAATTCAATTAATTAATAGTCTAGTGATAAAAGAAATCAAATACATAAAAAGAGTAATTGAATAAGGGGAGAGGAAGTGAAATTTTATATGTTCTACAGTATTCTTAGTCATGGCTAATAAAGTTTTTAATTTAAAATATAGATAATATTGTAGTATTTGATATTTCATTTATTCAAAAAAGATTAAAGTAATATTATTAGCTATTCTAATTAATAAGAATTCCTAGGCGGACAAATTTAATGATTTTTTTAAAAACCGTGAAATTCGTGATAAGTATTATGAAACCAAGGTAGTAGTAGATTAAAATATTAATATTTCTGTTCATTCTCTTTGCATTACTATGAGTTAGCATTCGGTTAATCAAATTAAATTAATTTAGTCTCGGCCTATTCAAATATATTTTTAGAGTAATCGAATCTGAAATTATTTATTATAGATTAAATCTATAAATTTGATTAATTATATATAATAACCGAACCACAACTTATAAAATAAACGGTCTTATGTACCTAAACTGATTTGTAACTTAAATTTATAAAATAATTATTCAAATCTGACCGAAATAAATTGATTTGAGTCGATTCTCGATTAGAATCCGAAAATTGCTCTTCCCTACTTTGTAGTACAGCCTTTCGATTGAATATTGCTGTTTCCAATTATGTTAATATCACATATATTTCTATATCATCGTTGAATATGTTTGGTGGATGGATATTTTATATAATAGGTACATATTTTCTTATATTATAGTACAGGAGTATAACCAGAAGTGAAATTGCGTTTTGATACATCAAATAGGTCTTAAAAACGAGCAAGAAATTTTTTTTTTTTGGCCTTTTCAATTAAAAAAAAAAAAGAAAAGAAAAAAGGAAACAGAAAAAACCGTTGGAAAAAAGACCGATTCATATGGAACAAAGCACATTAAGCTCGGTTGGGTAATTTGTTTCTCTCACAACGCGCCTGCAGCTTAACGGCGCCGTTTCATTTTAACACAACATCACAGTGAAGCTCAAACAGACTCGCTCTTCTTACTTATTATACTAACATATTTATTTATCATCTTGTACAAACACCTGCGTCTACTTTTCTCTTCCCCTCTCATCAAACCCTAGCCTAAACGTCACCAACCAATCTAGTCATGGCGTTGAAGCATCTTCTTTCTCTAGCCCGCCGGTCTCATAGGCCTCAACGCTCTGCACTATCTTCCTTCCGATCATCTTCCACCTCCGCCGCTCCTCTCGCCACAACTTCGCCGTCTGCGCCGCCTGGTCCTCCTCCTCCAGATGCCATGATCTATGATCGTCTTGCTGAATCAGTCAAATCCAAGCTTCAACAGCTCGAGAGCCCCGACCCGAGGTTCCTCAAATACGGGTCTCCCCACCCTACTCGTAGGTCTCACACTCACATCCTTTCCGCTCCCGAAACTCGCATTACTACTCTCTCTAATGGTCTTCGTGTTGCAACGGAATCTAATCTTGCGTCGAAAACCGCAACTGTTGGAGTATGGATCGACGCGGGGTCCCGATTTGAGACTGAAGATACTAACGGAACAGCCCATTTTCTCGAGCATATGATTTTTAAGGGGACGGAGAAGAGGTCTGCAAGAGATATTGAAGAAGAGATCGAGAACATGGGTGGGCATTTGAATGCCTACACTAGTAGGGAGCAGACTACTTATTATGCCAAAGTCATGGACAAGGATGTGAATAAGGCATTGGATATTTTGGCTGATATATTGCAGAATTCAAAGTTCGATGAGAAACGGATTAGTCGTGAGAGGGATGTGATTTTGAGGGAAATGGAAGAGGTAATTGGTTTCTTTTTTTTTTTTTTTTTTTTTTTTTTATTGTTAGAGGTGGAAATGGAGAGGGTAGATTGGGTTTCTATTTTTTATTTTTTTTTATTTTTTTTTTATTTAAGGTTCTTATTATTGCATTTTATTCACTTTGTGTGTATTGTGGAGGTCTTGTGGTTATCTCTTTTCGAGTTCCTATACTAGATGGTAGAAAAGTTCGCTGTGCTTTTGGTTTGAATTGATTAGCATGTAGTCTGGACTGTTTTATTATTTATTTCTTTTTATTTAATTACCCCAGGAATAATTATTTACGCTTTGTTAGCCTAGAGTGCTGGATGATTATGGTAATTTTTGTTATTTTATAATGGCCATTCTTGCTGGTAGTCATCCTTATGATGTGATTTTACTCATTAACGTCTATGTATAATTGAATAAGGAAAGTTTTTTTTTCGCCCCCAGAGGTTTAGTTTTTGCATGGTGTGATTCTTTTATTTTCTTTTTTTTTTTTTTTTTTTTTTTTTTTTAAGGTTCTTTTGCTTTATTTTTGTGTGTATTGGAGGCGGGTTATCTTTTTATTGCTTACTGATGTAGAAAGTTGTGTGCTTTGGTTTGAATTGATTAGCATTTGTTGGAGTTTTATTATTATTTTTTTATTAATTACCAGGAAATTATTTACCTTTGTTACCTAGAGTGCTGGATGATTATGGTAATTTTTGTTATTTATAATGGCCATATGGTAGTATCTTATGATGTGATGACTCATTACGTCTATGTTAATTGATAAGGAAAGTTTTTTTTCCCCCCAGAGGTTAGTTTGCATGGTGTGATCTTATTTCTGGAATTGTAAAAGAAAGAAGATTTTGGTTGATGAGTGATAAGCTAATATTAAAAGTTTGGTTTTTGAAACAAATCATTGAGCTGCTGTTATGATATAGGCCTTTTTTTTTGTTATAAATTTTAGTACCTTTCTGGCATTCCTTATCTTCTCATTATCAAAAGTTGTGTCATGGAACACTTGTAGGTTGAGGGGCAAACAGAGGAAGTTATCTTCGACCATCTGCATGCAACTGCATTCCAGTACACTCCACTGGGTAGAACTATTCTTGGACCGGCCAAAAATGTCAAATCAATCACAAGAGATCATCTTCAGAACTATATAAACACACACTACACTGCTCCTAGAATGGTACTGAACAGCCAATGAAGCTTTCTTGTTTCATATATTGGACTCAATAGAAATACAGGAGGCTGTATCTCCTCTTGACTTTATGGTTTACTATTTTGTTGGGACTTTCATTTCAGGTCATTGTTGCTTCTGGAGCTGTTAAGCACGAGGACATTCTTGAGCAAGTAAAGAAACTGTTTACTAAGTTATCAGCTGATCCAACCACTGCGTCCCAGCTGGTTGCAAAAGAACCAGCATTTTTTACTGGCTCTGAGGTGGGAAGATATAACTCAAATGTTCATAACTTTTTTATTTGACACTCCTTATTTATGTAAACTGGGGTGTTTTGATTACTGTTTGTATTCAGGTCAGGATAATTGATGATGATGTTCCTTTGGCACAATTTGCGGTTGCTTTTGAAGGAGCACCATGGACCGATCCAGATTCTGTTCCTCTGATGGTCATGCAGGCAATGTTGGGGTCGTGGAATAAAAATGCTGGCGGTGGAAAGCACATGGGGTAAACACACCACTGCCAACTCACCATATTTCTGGCTAAAACACTGCTAAAAGAGAGAACTTTAATAAAATGAAGCACCCTAATAAAGATTGTTAAGTCTTCCCTAAGTGTCTATTGACTTTCAATAATCATAGCCCCCCTACTCTTGCTACAACATGATAGCTTTGAACTTTGATTGGTCCAGTTCTCTCATAATTCACTGTCTTTTTTTGTTCAGTTCTGAGCTGGCACAGAGGGTTGGCATTAATGAAATTGCAGAAAGCATGATGGCTTTTAACACCAATTACAAAGACACTGGCCTATTTGGTGTTTACGCTGTTGCCAAGGTGAGGTCGCCAACTTTTGTTTATATCTCCAATAGGCTTGATGACTACTTCTTATGAAATGGTATAAAATGCATGCAATCATGTTATAAAAATTCTAGACATTTAATGATGCAATGGAGAGAAAAGATGACAGAGCAGTGGTAACTTGAGTTGTGTATGTTCTCTCAAAAGCAAAGATATTATTGCCGTTGACAGATACCAATCAGGAACAAAAAAATTTCGGCATTGAGCTAGATTTTACTTTCAGGAAAATTGAATATTAATACTGTTGTTGTTTGAAGCATGGTACTGGTGGAAGCAGTTTACAGGGTGAATATTTGGAAATGAATATTATATTGACATAGCTTTATGTATAGATATGCTCTTTATGTCTCCAGAAATATATAAATGCACTTGTATACTGTTATAGTAGGTTTTTGGAACATGAGCCACTGCTGTTTCTCCTCCTATCTTTCGTTAATTAACTTTTGTCTCTTTTTCTGATTTTGAACAAGAAAACACTAGAGACAATGGAGCTTATTACTATTCGGTGCTAATCTGTTAAAAGCTATCTCAACTATTGTATCTTTAGGATGATGTTTGAGTCATTTTAACATTCTTTATTTTGGACTCTCTCTTTGATGATATTATGCTTTCCTGTGTTAATGAAAATTTTAAGACTTGTATTATTCTTTCAGCCGGATGGCTTGGATGATTTAGCTTGGGCAATTATGCATGAGACAGCCAAGTTATGTTATCGGGTTTCTGACGCTGATGTGACAAGGGCTTGTAATCAGGTAGTCACATGATCCTGCTTTGTCATGGAACTTTATGTGTCTTCTATTGATTTGAATTTAATTCCAACTAGTTTCCCCTTGAATCTTTGTTAAGTTCGTTACACTCTTAGGTTTGTTAAAAGTTGTTTCCGTGACCCAAAATAATTATGCATTGAATCTGTTGGTTGTGCTGAACTCACTGTGATGCATATAAGATACCCCACTTTGTTGTAACTCATTTTCTGGTGAATTATTTTGTTGATTTGGTTGGTTCAGATTCTTGTGTTAAATAACAGTTCGGTGCTTTAGATGAGCAAACAATTGACTCTTAACTGCTCCAGAGAATTGGAATATTCAACTTTTGTTGGGTTCTAATTTACTTAATTAAGGCATGCTAACAATATGATAAACTGAAGCCTCTGTTTATTGCTGGGCCTTTTGTATATTCTTGTTTCTGCTTTAAAACGAATCATATGATTACTATATTTTCATTCATTTTATGTGATTCTTACCTTACTCATTTCTCGAGTATTATATACGGTTTATTTTTTATACTAGTTGGACGTACTGTGAAATGTCTTTCTCCTTTTTTTGTTATTATTCTCTTACTGCTGCATGTGGTTGCAGTTGAAATCTTCATTGCTACTTCACATAGATGGAACCAGCCCTGTAGCTGAAGATATTGGACGACAGGTATTATTAAGTTTCCATATTAAAACATCCTGTGGGCAAAAATTTTAGGACAAAATAGGTTTCAGCAAGTACTACTACATATTGTTGCTGAGAGATAAGTGAAGGTTCTTTTTCCATCCTGATGATTGCATGATTAATGCAAACCAAAGTCATAGATATCATTCATGGTTCTTGGTAAAGAGATAATGCAAAAGCACATTGCCTTCCTTCCATGTTGTTTTACCTTGACCAGGTCTTGCATAACTCGATTATAGGTTGGAGAGCCTTAGAGGCAATATGTTTTCATTGGGTGCTTTCTTAGCTTGTTATTTGCAATAACTTGCCATTAGAGTAACCATGTGGGAGCTCTGTCTTGTAGTTTTATGTAATGTATTTGATTACCAAATAGTCTCTGTTGTCACAAGTCATAACGTCCTTGTTCAACTCTTAATATGTTGGTCTTGTAAGTTGTGGATAAAATTCATAATCTTGTTGACTGCTGGAATACTTTGCTGGGAATTCTTGGTGCGTATCATTACTGTTGTTAATTGTTCTTCTCATTTGCTTATGGTTGCAGTTGCTTACTTATGGTCGGAGAATTCCATTCGCTGAATTGTTTGCTAGGATTGATGCTGTTGATGCAAGTACTATTAAACGTGTTGCAAACAGATTTATTCATGACAAGGTACAAAAGACAGTCGATCAAAGTTTTGTTGATACCCTAACTCCTAATTTTACAACAAGAAGGAAGTGAAATCTTCATGTTGATTGCTTCTTTTTTTTGACAGGATGTTGCAATTGCTGCCACGGGTCCTATCCAGGGCTTGCCTGATTACAACTGGTTCAGACGCAGGACCTACATGAACCGCTACTAGAGTGTTGTGCTTTTTATTTGTTACATTACTGCATGGATACATGCATTTTGTTGTTTTTACAGCACAACCAACGTCACTGGGGAAGCCCCCAAATCCTTAGCATTTTCAAGTCAAAATTTTTTTAGGTTTCTCTCTGTAATGCTATTATTGCTGCAGTAATAAAGAATGCAGTGTTCAGTAAGTTGGCCGATACAAGGGATTGATATTCAGTACTTTTTAGCAAAGCATGGATTAGTAAGGCCCTTCTTGTCAATATCTTTTAACTGAAATTTTTTGTTACCTGCATATTGTTGGAGAGACTGATGCGAGAGGATTTGATACGAGTTTTTATTGTTAATAATAATTCAAGTGCCAACTTTCCTTACACCATATGTTACTTTTTGACAGACAAGCAATCTGTTCACAGCCAACCCCATTGAATGGAGTAGTTTATACTTTGCTTCCAGCTTTCCCATGGATCTGCACCTTAATGTGCTGAAATTTTAAAATAATGAGCAAAAGAATCTGTTTTTGAACTTATACTCCCCTTGTTGCTTGATAATTCTAGCCTGTATTTCTTTGCTCACAAGTTATAACCTGTATTCCATCCTGTCATATTGAAAAAATTTAAAATGATATATGGATAAAAATCTGAAGTTTAGGGTAATTTTTATGCATCAGGGCTAAAATTATAGCTAAATATTTTGGTCATAAAAAATTTGTTCTCTAAGAAGAACCATCTCCATTTTCCAACAATCAAAATCATTCCAGCTTAAATGGAAGAAAGAGGACCCCACAAAGAATCCCACACAGTTACAAAACATTATCACAGCTTGCACCAGTGGTTGGAGGGAAAAGTGACGGCCTTCTCTCTCTTTGAAATGAGAAATGTATTTTTATTGCAGTTGTGGCTGTTAGTTAGGAAACTTAAAACCTCGATGTGAAATTGTTTCATTGTAAGTATCGAGACACAGGGTATTAAATTATAGTTTTTTGCTATTTTCCGTTTTAACCCTTTTATTTTGGGGCCTTTTGTTTTGCATTTGATTTTTTTTGATTCATCACTCAGATTTCTCAGTCTCCTCCCTTCGATCTAATCGATACTGAACCATCGTTTCTCCTCCAAATCTCCGCCCTTTTCTTTCCATTCTTAGATTTAAATCATAAAGTTTCTTCCTTTGAAGCTATTTACAGTTTCTAATCTTCATATATTAGTTCTTTTTTTTTTTTTTTTTGCTTACAGATACCAAATTATATCAACAATGGCATCCATTTCGGTTCCTTGCCCTAAAACCACTTTGGTTGCTCGCATCGGATCCAATGTCGAAAACCCACTTCCCAACTCGACCGTTTCCTTTCCTCCTCTCACTTCCAATCTCCTTGGATTTCAGGTTAGTTTCTTGCTTTCTTTTTTCTTCTTTTCCTAACTGTAGCAAAAGTGCTTGCCTTTTGACTATGCAATTTGGTTATCCTTACTATTATCATGCAGTTGTTTTTAGTTTGTAACGTTTTTGTTTTGTTCTTCTGTTTACATGCTTGATTTGATTGTTGTCCTGTTACTATAGTAGTATCTAAACAGTGTTTCTATATATTTTTTTATGCTTTTAGTTTATGTTTATTATATATTTAGAGCTTGACCAATTTTTTTAATCATTGATCTCCCTGTTATTTTTTTTTTTTTTTTTTTTTTTGAAACTATTTACAGTTTCTAAATCTTCATATATTAGTTCTTTTTTTTTTTTTTTTTTGCTTACAAGAATACCAAATTACTATCACAATGGCATCTCATTTCGGTTTCCTTGCCCCTAATAACCAACTTTGGTTGCTCGGCATCGGATCCAATGTCGAAAACCCCCACTTCCCAACTCGACGTTTCATTTCTCTCCTCTCACTTCCAATCTTCCTTTGGAATTTCAGGATAGTAGTGTCTCTTGCTTTCTTTTCTCTCTCTTCGTTTTCCTAACTGTGTAGCAACAAAGTGCTTATATGAGCACTTTTTGGAGCTATGCAAATTCTGGTATCCTCTCTACTATTATCATAGCAGTTGTTTTTAGTTTGTAACGGTTTTTGTTTTGTTCTTCTGTGTGTACATGCTTGATTTGGGAATTGTTGTCCTGTTACTCATAATTGTTGTAGTATCTAAAACTTGTGTTTCTATATATTTTTTTAATGCTTTTAGTTTATGTTTATTATATATTATTAGAGCTTGACCAAATTTTTTTAAAAATCATTGATCCTCCCTGTTATTTATTTTTTTTTTTTTTTTTTTTATTTAGTGGAGAATTGCAAGTACTCTGTTTTCCGGATTTTTGCAGAATTGAAATGTGATTTTAGGATACTTTGTGACGATTGTCTAACATCAGATACTCTGGTTTTTTTTTTTTTTTTTTTTTAATTTAGTGGAGAATTGCAAGTACTCTGTTTTCCGGATTTTTGCAAATTGAAATGTGATTTTAGGATACTTGTGACGATTTGTCTAACATCGATACTTCAGTTTAATCCCTTTGACTTCAATTTTCATTATCTTTTAGTTTTAGATAGCTTCATCTAGTCAAGCTTTTTACCTTATAAAGAGACTCAAACTTACATAAATTAATAAACGTGATCATTACATGAGCTCCTAATAATAGACAACTGTTGTTCAATCTATGTACACTAATATCCTTGCAGAAATATTATTGCCATTGATTGTTGGGTGATTTAATTTTCTTTTGCAGTGGTGTAACAGGAAGCAATCTCGTGTTACCAAGATGCAGGCAAAGCTCAACGAGGTGTGTTCTTGCCTATAAGTTCAAGAAAGTTTATGTCTAAATTAGCTTCAATTGTTATTTCCGTGGTTTACTAATTTAATTTTTTTATATTTAAGGTTCTTCTCGAGAAATCGTCAAATTCTGTGCCAGTCCTAGAGACTAACTCCAATGTCCCAACACCTGATGAAAAAGATGAATCAACAGAAAGTAACATTCTGGATGCATCACAAATTTCCGCATTCATGACACAAGTATCGGACCTTGTCAAGTAAGCAAAGAGAGCCTGTGTTTTTAATGCCAGATTAGATGTCTAGTTATTTTTGTGCATTTACTTCATTGTTTTGGAATTGATTTGATATTAAATTTGGTGAGCAGACTTGTGGATTCAAGAGATATCACGGAGCTCCAACTAAAGCAGTTAGGTTGTCAGCTCATAATAAGAAAAAAAGAGGCTTTGCAGCAACCACCACCGGCAGCTCCTGTCATTGCAATGCCGCCCTCTTACCAACATACCATGCTTCCATCTCCGCCACCAGCTGCTCCTGCATCTGCACCTCCAAGTTCTCCACCTCTGGCACTGGCCTTGCCTCCCCCTGCAAAGACTAGCTCATCATCTCATCCGCCACTGAAATGCCCAATGGCAGGAACCTTTTATCGTAATCCAGCACCTGGTGAACCCCCTTTTGTCAAGGTATGTGACTGTGTTACTGACTAGCAAGTGTGTTGTGTACCTTTTAAAAGACACTGCTGCGAAAGACATAACACGCAATGCCTGTATTTCTTATGAAAGGCATGCCATCATGTTTACTTAAATATCAATCTGAAGTGAAAAAGCTTCCTTCCCTATGTTTCTATGCTTATTTTTACAGGTAGGAGATAAAGTGCAGAAAGGTCAGGTTGTCTGCATCATCGAAGCCATGAAACTAATGAATGAAATTGAGGTATGTCTCTACTTTTTTCATTAGTTCATTTGGTTGCTATTACAAAGCTTATGTTAAAATCTCTCTATATAGAAAGTTTTGTGTATTCATCCCACGTATATGAAATCGTTGGATGTATGTTTAATTTCACTTCTCTGTCTGTTTTGTTAGTTACTATCTATTTTGTGTGTTTGTGTTGTTTTTTTAGGCTGATCAGTCCGGAACCATAGCTGAGATTCTGGTAGAGGATGGGAAACCAGTTAGTGTGGACATGGTAAATCTTTTTTTTTTTTTTTTTCTTCCTCGCCCATTATCTCTCGGCTTATATATTCTACGTGCTATTATCTCAGATTGTAATTGCATTTTTGTTGCTTATATGCAGCCTCTATTTGTCATTGCACCATGATCACTTACAGGAATCATTATACTCAGTAGCAAGAAGTACTTGTTTCTACCAAAGTAACTTGAAGGGTTACATATCTAGTAATTTTTCCATTTTTACGGTGTAATTTTAAATGAATAATGGTGTCATCTTGGTCAGCCGAAACATTTTTTATACTTAAATCATTGTGTTTGATATGTAGAAGAAAGCTTCAAGGGTTTTAGAATATAGGGCATTAAGTAATTTTTAAAATGCAATGTGTGAAATTTTTGGAGTGAATCTGTAATCTCTCTGGAATCCTTGAGACTATTAATTTTTGTAACTTAATTTTAATTTAATTTTCAATAATACAAAGTGAATTCTGAAATATTTGAGAATATTAATTTAAGATATTAAAATTTTTAGTTTATAAGATTATAAAATATTTAAAATTATAAAAATTTTTATATTTTAAAAATTAATTAAATATGAAAAAAATGTTATGAGTACAAAAAGGAAATGTCATGTTTTTATTTTTGAAATAAAACAAAAAAGAAATAAAATTTGGGATTGCTAATCACTGATCCAAAAAGGCTGCTGGGCTCCCATAAAAATGATAAACGATGGTAGCTGTTGAAGCCCTGTAGTGTGACCAATAATGGCTGATGATAAGGGGCGATTAACAATGATTATTAATAGTGATTATCAGTTATTAGCAAATTAATAAATGTGTTTATAAGATTGCCATAAAACTATTCATGATGAAAATATGTTTCTCTTTTGAAGATGAAAGGTTATTTTCCTTAAAATGAATTTTTTTTTCCTTGACTGAAAATATTTTTTTTATTAATTGATTTTTCTGAATCGTCGGGAAGTTCAGAAAGAAAATGTTTGAGGTTACTCTTCAGAACAACCGGAGCGTGGTATTGTTTTTATTTTATTTTGTCAATTATTTGGAATTAAATAAAATGGCAACGCCAATTGCAATGATAACCATCAAACTAGCATATACTGGGCATTAAAGCTTTACATTACAGAACTAGAAAGTGCAATCAGAATTGTGAAGTAACCAAAATTCTCATAATCAAAGTTCTGATTGCAATTTACTCGAAAGACAAAAAAGGAAGAAAGGGTGAGGACAGAAAAAAGATGAAGATTTGAGACGGGGCTTTAGCTGTTTCACTCTGAGAAGAGTTTTCACATGAAGGAACAAATTTCTGAGTGCGCTACACCTTTGCTGGAAACTGAATGCAAGAATCGTGAATTTCATTGACAGAAAAGAATGTAGTCACAAAATATATTTTGAGCAAATTACAAATTACAAAGTGGAAACAGAACCAACTGCTATCATATATAACAAGACCTCTCCTTTCTTCTGTTTCCAGAAATTTCTTTCCTTTTGATGTCAGGCTATTCTATTGCCTTTTCTTTTTTTTTTTCTCTCCTAAGTAATGTACATGTTAGCCTATCTATTTCATATTTACAAAAGCTATCATCATCGCTGCCTACCTGCTCTATTGCTGTTACCTCTCCTGCCGCCACCGCCACCACCACTTTGCCGCCGAGCTCCTCCTGTCCACTCTCCGTCATCATCATCATCATCTTCATCTCCATTCATCCGTTGTCCATATTTTGCCTTTCTAGGGGTAGGGCGTTTCCTCTTGATGTTTGCGGTGTAAGTGGTGTAATCAACAGCATCTTCCTTTAAAGCATTCTTAAATTCCTGTGCCAAAAAGAAAAGCCAATGAAAATTATTATACAGGACAAGTCATAAAAATTTGATGCCTCATTTCATTGATGTTCATGCTACCTGATATCTCTGTAGCAAATCTTGGTATGTAGATGGCACACTAGTAGATGTTTCACTGACGTCAAATGGAATATTCTGCCTTGAAAGAGCTTCCCCAGGTTTCGGGGGTTCATTTGGAGAAAAAGCCTGATAGTGCATGTATTGAGTGAAGTTAGTTGCAACTGTGCCTATATATAATTTTACCCTGTAGGAAACAAAAAGCAAGGTAGAGCCAGAATTTGTGGAGATTTTACCTGGCAGCGGGCATCATTCAGGCTGTACACAATTTTAAGATGCCTCTTCAGCTTCAAAAGAAGTTGTAATGCAATTGCCCAGAGACAATCAACCTGCATGAGAACCATAGATAAAGGAGTAGGAAGAAAAAAAAAGTTCAGGCATGTTGAGATTACTCATATGTATGTAATTACTATTAATCCAAAAAGAGAAAGAGGGAGAAAGGAGAACAATAAAGGCAATAACGCGCTATCACATGACACCATATAATAGCAACACTGAAAGATTCTCCACCATTTTTCCCTTCACCGGGTAAACCAAGCACAGATTTGATGAAAAACTTGGTGCCAGCCCACAAGGACGAAAACAACCACACTTTCCATGCTGAAATAGAATAGCACCAGAGGTTCCCAAAAGTACCTGGATTTTCTCCACATCATCTTTTGAGATGCTGAGAGTCTCTCCAGAGTTCTTATCCATCTTTGGTTCTCCTGAGGCACTAGATTTCAAGACGAAATGAGGCTCTTCCTGAACTGTTCCATTCAAATCAAACGATGTCAAAGGAGTCGAATTGGGCTGAGAAACTGGATCTTGTTGCATCATCCTATTTAAATCCATCATGGCCAAATGATTAAGAACGGGCTGAGCTGGCTCTTGCTGAAATACTCCATTTTCATGAGTTGCCTTCTGGGAATTTCTTTGCGACAAATGTAAAATTAATCCTTTCATATTTGCTTCAAGTGCTCCAGCCCTAACTTGTATTATCCGATTTATAGCATAAATCAAATAAAGGGGTTCGTCAGGAATAGTAAATGGCAGCAAAGCAAGTACTTCTGTGCAATACCTATAAAAGCAAACCAACATCCTTCTGTAAATGTTATACCGAATGGGATAAGCGATAAATGGGACTGGCAATAAAGGAGAGAACTCACATCAAAAATGGAACAACTGAATTGGTCCAGCTTGGATTATCAAATTTACGCACAATTGAAGACATAAATTTGTTCCTTGAAGCACGGTTTCCACGAATAAGCTTGTAAATTCGGGAAACTCCAAGCCTTGCTTGCACAAGCGAGCCACCTTCAGGTTTTCCCTTTGAATTTCCAGCAGTTTTGGATTGGAGTTTTTGGTTTAGATTTTCAGGAGAAACACCACAAATGGATTGCATGAACATAAATGATAGTTGCAGACCATCCCCCAGCCGGCTTTCAAAAAATGCAGGATACCTGAAAGGGAACTATCTGTAAGATGGACAAATACATCAAGAGAGGAGAAAAAGGAGTGTCTTTCAAAAAGCCTACTTCTCATTCATATTCATAAGCAAATGATGTGACAACTTCGAGTTCGACTCTTGAGGATCTGTTTCAAGTGCTATAAGGTACGGAACACAAGTGATAGGATGAACAAGACCTTGTCGCAGCACTACCTCCACAATCTGCATTAAAAGTGTGGAAACAAATGCAAAACTCAAGACATCAATCCAAAATCCAGCAACTAGCCTACAGGCAACAAGTGAAGTTCACCAGCCATGCTTTCTAACCAGGCACATACAAGCAATCAGACCAAGGAAATTTTCATCTAGTTCTGATCTTGACCAGCATCTTAAAAATTGCTGGCAAAGAACTATATTGATATTCAATCTGGATTATTAAACTACTGATTATACTCATGGTTTGCACATCCCAAATCTCTTTATGCCATATGATGTTATTTGTTTTGGTTTTCTTCCCCTCCATGTCAGATGTTGCCAGGTTTGCAGCATTAAGGATACTGGGACAAGAATACAGAATATGGGGCCTCACCTTAAGTGCAGTCTGGCGAACTTGTGCGTTGAAATCCAGGCATCTCCCCAAAATACTATCCCAGTACAACTGAACTATACCCCCACAGATGTTAGTATCACCAGCACCTGCAGCAACAGGAACACTGTTTCCCTGCTCTACAGGATAATGACTTTGATTATTACCGGCTTTATCTGTCCCCATTTGGCTTTCAGCATCAAGAAGATATTCATACATGTTTTGCAATGCTTGTATCTGAACAAAAGAATAATTAGTACACTAACTTAAAATGAAATCACAGAATGGCAGGGGACAATAATACCTTAAGACGAACATCAGAACCAGAAGATAAAGTTGCCTCTAATATTTTCCCAATGTCCTTCTCCAGCATAAATTCAGGCCTAGCAATTAGAACAAAACCTAATGCCTACAAGAATTACAATCTAGATAAGTACCACTTAAAGTAAAGAGGCTTCAGTAACTGAGAGCCAAAGACCACATACCTGCAGAGATCTGACTTTTACACCAAAATCTTCCATTCGAAGATACTTTTTGAACAACCCAAGGTAGCTTACATCAATCGTTTTGTTACCAATGGTGTTCAGCAAAGAATTCCCATAGCGAATAAGCAAACCAAGACAAAATAGAGAGCGGCAAACCAGCTACGATACAAACAGTCTTAAAGTCAATTCTGTGGTTTTAATAAATTGTTCTGTAAACAAAGAATATGCGCCAAATATAACAGCTGAACAACTAAAATAAAAGTTTGTGACAACAATAAACAACAATAATTAAATGCATGGCTACTCTTCAATCAAACAAACAAACAAGTGTAATTTGCTATAAAACCTGCTCTTCATTCAGGTGCAAAAATATCTTGATAGTTTAACTGTCATCCATCCAAACCATTTTATATCACCAACATGCATAAAGCACATAAATATTACAACAGAGTATATAGTAACCGCCAAAACAACACTTGATGCAGCCTATTACAAGATTGAATTGAAGGATAGAGGCAAATGAATGAGTAAAAGGTTAGAACCATAAAGTGAGTAATTTGGGCCTAATTGAGCTTGGGCCAACTAATACTAACCAATTAGCTGGCTAGCTTTCCAGCCTTATATGCCCTTTATGGATGTGATATTTATTCAATGTGGAATTATTAGCAAAGCCTTTCTATTTCTTTATCTTTTTTTTTTTTTCTGTATTGCAGATATGTAACCTTGTATTGATACATAGTATACAAATAAGAACTCCAGACAATAGAAACAGAAACTGATGCAGCTACCTACCTGCTTGTTATCATTTCCCGGAGCATCCAGACGTTTGAAGAACACCTGAATAAGATATTCAACAACAGCAGCACCCTTTCCTGCTACTCTACTCAAAGAGCAAAGACACCTGCAATGAGAAACAAGATCCATAACTATAAATTTGAAAGCCAACTAAAAAAGGCACTTGTCACCTAAATAATGACATAGAGCATGCAAATGTGTACAAATAATGTCCCATATCCATGTTAAGAAAGACTATACTCTGTTTTCCTTATTAGGTAAATGGCCAATCTATCATAATATGTTATTTGCTGAACACTGAAGGTATCAAAACCAAACCTTCCATGACAAGTGATATATGGAAACTTTATCCCATATCACAAGAGCAAACTATATAAGAACTATGAGAAAACCACAAAAATTTGGTTCCATAGACCATAATAGAATTGAATGATAATCAAAGAACAAAAATTTAACGCCTATCAATGCCATCCAGCTCATGTTTACATAACAACAACAAAAGTACACATAACAGAAGGCTACAGCAAAATTGTAATATATTACAAGTATTCACAAACTCAATGTTGCAAGAAATGACCAAACAAGAAGCCTTTCAACACAAAATAAAAGAATGGTTTTCCTCCCTCAATCTAATCAAAAACCAAATTATTTTTTGCAGCTCATTCAGGAAAATAGGGAAGAAAGCAGGAAGGGGGAACATGCATAATCCACAGGTTAAAGAAATTTGGCTATATACAACCGCCACTAAATCATAAAATAGACTCAAAAAAATTAAGAAAATATAGCAATTATAATGACAGAATAAAAAAGGAGATAAAAATTACTTGATGCAAGCATGGACAACTGTTAAAAATGAATGCCGAACAATCATGTGCTTCAAATCTTGTTCAAGCTCTTCAACAACAACCGGAGACAACTTTCGGATTAGGGGGAGAACAGAATCAATTATAAAGATTATACTTTCCAGCAACTGCGCAACTGCTCGGTTGTCAACCTGGACACAGAAAAATGCTGATTAGAGTATATGAATTACATCCAGCAATAGACAAATGAATAAGTAGTAGCTTATTTTCATACTCATTCCAATTCGAAAATAAATACAAAAGCAGCCTGCAATAACAAATATTAGAACAACATTAAGTTGAAACAATGAACACCTTGTGTGGAATTGTTGCCACTGTGCATATTCTATTACATCAAAGAAGTATACAAGGACAAGATACTTCTACAAGTCCTCAACAGGTAGATAATTTTTAGAGCCGGTAAACATGAAACAACTCAAAGTACAAAGCACCCAGTTACGACCCTGTCAAGTCAAAGTCCTATGAAAATTTCAATGCTGCCAAACCCTTGAAACTCAAACTTGATATTTAGACGCTACCCTAAGACTTTTACCACTACTCCAGATAATGGCCTCTTAATTAACAATTTTCAACATGTAACCTCCTAAAATTTTCAAATAACTACTTCATATGGCAATGGCTATTCAACAGTTCCATAATGGCATAAAATAATACTTAAATATTAACTTTTTCATCAACTAGGCCAACAAAATGTAGACCACTAGTACACTATGTGTATAATGCAATCTCTGATTCATTTTGGAACATTATTAAAAAATGCCAACAGGTTTGTATTGCATGTATCCACATGTAGCATATCCTAGTAGAGCAAGAGATAAAACATTTTATCATGAGAAAATTCAGCACTGAATTCTCATCCCAGAAACAAAAGAGGCATAAAAAGCATTTTATTGGATTACATCCTACGATGAGGCTTGAGGTCACTACGGCTGATGTTCTTATGCCATTAGACAGATACCAGATAAGCACATATCATCATCATAAATAACCTGAGTCTTGAGATATGGCTGTAGAGTGACTACAAACTGTGAAGGATCAGAAGCCGGTGCACAAAGTGTAGCATCCACGACACAAAATGCATGCAATGCCATCACATAAGGCAGCGTTCGGACCTCTACTTCCTCGCTGTTCATTTCCTCTACCTGACACAACAAATTCCAGAATAAGATTCACATGGCCAAATAAAAAAACATATGCATAAACAAGCAAAAAATGATACCTGCAAAATCCTCTCTAGTAAGCACTTGCACATTAACTCACAACGGTTACGAACTGATGCAAGCGACACAGGATTGATCCCAACAGCTTTAGCTGATTGGGGGAAAAAATCAAGGGCTAGGTTGCGCTTAATGACAGTGACAAGAAGCTGATGACTTGGCATCCTCCTCAACATCTCAACGATTTGCTCAGTCTTCTTGGCCACCTCCAAAGGTACAGAACTTCCATCTCCAAAATATTGTGTCTGCAAACCAGATGATTCCTCAAACCAGAACTCATAAAATGTCTTGCAGACCAGATCCTGGGACAAAAGAATACAGATGGCCAGGAAATGGCATCAGGAAGACAAACACTTTGTAATTTAAGTGACAGTAATTTCAGAAAAATAAATAAAAATCAGTAACACTATCGTGATTTAGTTTGATAGCTTATAAAAGAATAATATCACAGAACTTCCAAATATTGCCAAATATTCAATAACATAAGGCTAGGTGAGAGAGCACGTTGATCATTAGGACAATCGCCTAATATCTTTATACAATATAATACATGAAGCTAAAGAGCGGGAAGGGTGGACAACTAATAAAAGATAGCCAAATGCCAAATAATTACGTCGGAATCATTTCATTTTGCTTTTAAATTACCTGAATGCTTGACTCATCATCGCTAACACGAGAAATGATTTCAATACAAGCAGTTGTATATTCAGAGAAGTTAGCATTTGCAGTGCACATATCTCGGATAATTTTGATAGCTCGTTTACGAACACTCACTCCTGTATCTTTTATCCTCTCAGCAACTTTCTCAAAATACTGCAACATAACCAAAATTTTCACAGAGGGAAGAAGAGACGTAAGTAAATAAAAGAATATTCCACGAATGTATAAGAAAGAGTGAACTTGAACTTGACAAACCTGCAGCCCGACATCAGGATGTGATGCAATATGCCTACCAACAAGTTCCAGTGCTGCTTCTCTTACAGATATCGCAGAGTCACAAAATCTTCCTTCAACAGCCAATTGTACACGTTTGTCACGTAACACCTCCGGGTCAGCTTCTACAATAATACTGACCTGATTACATCAAACAAAGGGAAAGGGACACTGATTATGTCATCAAACATGGAAGTCAGTTATTCCACAATCGATGCCTAGCAGATCAAAGAAAAAAAAATTTTCAACTCACTGCTCGTAATGCCTTGGCCCTAATTACAGGGGAGTTCTCCCTTAAACTTGCCTGGAAATGACAAATATATAACCATCAAAATCATACTGCATACAAGAATAGATGAAGTGAAATACTAGACTGACCAGAAGCATATGAAGAATCTTATCAAACCCCCTACAGAAAGAACTATTTTGCCCTAGTGCCAAAGTAATCTTCTTCACTGAATCCCTCATCAACATAGAATGGGTAGTCCCAGAATCACGCACAACAAGATTTGATTTGAGTCTAGTAAGGTAGTAAAACAACTTCTGTTGTGACTTAGGATCATCCTTGTACCATAAGCACAGATAAAACCTGCAAAAACATGTTCCCTATAATACCCATGGAAATATATAAGCAGTAAGGATAGAGCTTCCAGTACAAACCATCGAACAAAAAGGTGCACATCATCAGCAGATACAGAATCTTGCAGGTGATTCAATAGCAACTGTTGAACAATTTCAACTTTTGTAATGGGATCACAAGCTTTAGAATTCTTTTCTGAATGAATACTATTCTTTTTCCCTTCATCCTTACTCTGTGATTTGCAGTATGATTGTAACACAACAAGTTGCTTCTTGCTAACACAAATCTGGCATTGCCAACTCCGATTAGGAGCTTCATGTTCTCTTACTCCCATGCAATCTGCATGAAAAAATCTGCGACATCCTTGACACATAAACAGTGTTTTATCAAGTCTTCCATCTAAGCAAACAAAACAGATGTCTTCTGGATAACTCTGATTGATATTATCACCAGAATTCAATTCTACTAATACCCAAAATGTGTTCTTGCTGCAAATGACAGCATCTTGCTTCAACCTTGCTGCAATGGTACCAAGAAGATCAATGGCCATGGAACGTGCAGAAGTGTCCTTGGATTTCAGCCCAGCATTCTGGAGCAGCAATACACAAAGAACCTGCAACCAACAGTTCTTGGATTTCATCCCAACAAGATCTAGGGTAATGCAGACGCGTCCTCAAACAACAATTTATTTAAGCATATATTATTTTTATGCATCTCACCTCCAGAATAGGAGCTGAAGCAGGGTATTCAGGTAAATTCAGAGTTGTCAGTAGATCTGTAACAAGATTTTCCATCATCACTTTTAGTTCAGAAGCATCCTGATTTTTTACTGTTGTGAAGCGCTGAAGAACTCTGGTCCAGAAAAGACAGCACGTCTCCGTGACAGCTTCGTGGCATTTGGGTGGATAACTAGCATCCAAAGAGATCTCTAAGATGGAATTGCCACTCGATGCTTCTCTCAAAGCATCAGGAAGATTTGCACTGCTGTGTACCAATTGAATCAACAAAGCAGTAATCATCTGAATCTGCCTCTGTTCTTCATCAGGCAGGTGGTAGGATCTCAGTGCTCGCTTTGAAACTGGTAACTTCCAGAGAAGTTGAACTATTTCATCTAAAATATATGTTCGGTGCTGTGTATATTTATAGAATATCTGTACCAATAATTTAAAAACTCAAGACTCAGACTGAAGAAAAATATGATAAATATGAAATCTTAACATTTATGTATGCATGCATACATGTCAAAATATAAATGCACAAGCTCTCAAGTAGAAACATTATGTACAGATCTCTACCCCGCTAATTAAACCAATTGCCTTCAATTGCAAGAGTTGAATATTATCCACCAAAAATGTTGTGAAGCTTGTCTTCACCAGTTGTAGAATGCAACTATCAGATAACCTCTCAATTAACAACAAATCTTTCAGTAAACCAAGAACAGTGCACAGTTTCTGTAGTATAGTATTTATAGCGCCAGAGACCCTACCAAGAAAAATCATCAAACATAAGAACCTCATTTCAAGACACTAAACACCATAATATTCAATATCAAGCAACAGTTTATTGATAAGCACACTTGTTTGATGTTGATTTCTTCATTTTTACACTCTTTTGACTACGCCTTCTCTTGCTTGCTGAACCATAGTCAGTCTCAAGATCTTCATCTTCATCAACTGACAATCAAAGGTGAAGAATGTGACATTTAATTATAGTAATATAAATAATACTGCGTGCAATGAATTACTGATTTGATGTAAAAAAACAACCAACAAGGGAAACAAGAGGTTATGTTATACCAAACTAATTTGAAAAGGCCACCATCCTGTCTTTACTTTTATTTGCAACTATAGTTCATTGTTGTTAAAATTGATAATTAAGCCATCTGATTTTACAAGTCAGAATCACATAAAACAATTATAAATGTACATAAGAATTTCAATCAAGCAAAACTGAGTTGAGACTGAATTTCCAAACGAGATCAAAATGATTGCATGAGTTTACCTGGTAAATTGTACTATTTTTCCTATTGCATGGAAGCCATTACAGTAGTTCAATAATTTAATTAAATATCAGACTGCTTACTTATTTAACATCAAATAGTACTAATAGTGATCTTTCTGCAAACTACAAAGATTTTGCATTTGCATGTTTCGGCATTGAAGTTTTGTCATTAACATCACGGATATGAACAAATGTACCATATACTATTGATGAAGACGTGGAATGCGATCATTGTTATTATATTACTATTAGTTTTTCTTAAGGCTTTTCAGAATTGAAATTGTGCTATCAATAACAGAGTTTAAACAAACATCTTGTCAAAAGTTATATGATTAAATTATTCTCAAATGACTTGATGAAAAAAGTTAATTTTTAAAAAAATAGAATAATTTGGACCCTTTACTTAACAATGTATTAGATAGCTTAAATATAGATATGCACAAATTAGCGGTTGAGTTGTTTTTGTTAAAGGACATCCATTGTATGAGTCTCAATCGTAGTAGCAATGTGTATAAATTTCTCCAAAGACTAAAATATATGGTTTGTAAAATCTTAGATACTCAATTTTGTGATCTGAATTTATGGATCCCTTCCAAATTCTAGGCTATAAAGCAAGTTTTACAATCACGACATACAATTTTGCACACTTTTCAGAAAAGTAATGAAATTCAGAACAAAGCAAATTACAGAAAATTCCAGCTTTATCAAAACATAAGACTTACATTCAGGTGCTCCATTGTCATTTGACTTATGCAAAGCACGATATGCTGGATCATAAGCTGAGATGACATCCATTATTTGGTGTTTAGAAAACTCCAGAATTCTTTCAATGTTCTGACATGGAAATGCCATAATCAACCATCAGAGGTTAGAATAATATAAAAACCTAAGAAAGACACTATAAGGACAGAAATGAAAACAAATAGAGCACAACAATGATACACTGTTAATTCCAGAAGGAAAGAGGAACAAAGAACAAATATAGAATGAACCTCTTCTTTATATAGTTGCTTCGGCATGTTATTATGAGCCATTACAGCCAGAGCTGCATGAATGGATTCCAGGGCACAAAAGACCAAGGAGATTGCATCTGAATCTGGCTGCAATATTAGGAACAGAAGTCAAATAACTACATCAAACAGCATGGTAATGAATGCCAATATTTATTGACTTATAAAACCCATGAAAAAAATTTATTTAAAAGAACTCAAATATTACAATTTTAATCGAGAAACCACAGATGCCACAAATGAAGATCGATGACAGAAAACCATTGTTTCCTAATATACTTCCAATTTCACAATTGATGTCAAAAACCAATATCCATAGGAGACAAATAAGGTTCCACTTCTGCAATGCTAAATTCATTACATCCTTGGCAAAATTGACCATGCATATCAGTTGAGATTTTTCATCTGACGATATTCTCTAAGGAACCTTTGAAATCATTGCTCAAAAATCAACATAAACTATCCTAGCCAGTGGCTGAATGAGAACATTACAACAGGCGCATGACACATAACAGAATAGCATGCAGCAAATATGAGAGCTGAAGATCACAAAACTCAACAAAGGCAAAGGAATTCAAATAAAGCTGAACAAAATCTTATAAACTTGATATCTGATTTTCTAACAAACATTAAAATGCCAGACAAAAAAGAAAAGTAAAGAAGAGAGGACACACAGTGGTGCACCATCCCCAAAGAAACAATGCATAAACAAGATCTCAACTGCAACAAAAGAATAAAGAAACTCACATGATCACATTCATCAACAGACAAACCTTCAGCTCGGTGTATCTGATGATCGAGAACTCGTAAGAGCCTCACTAGAATATCTACAGGAACCAAATGTAGAAGCCTTTTTGCACGTATGGACATTATTTCATTTACAAGAATCCTAAGTTCTGCAACAGGCACTGACAACCACTCTGCTTCATCCCGTTCATCACTCATAATCTCAGATCTACCATAGAAGTCTTCTAGCATATCACAGAAGCTTCCAATGATGGCATCTAAACAAAAAAATAAGCACCAAAATCTTAGCATAAATATAGAAATAAGGGGACGAGAGAAGAAATGATCATCACAATGCCAACCTTGAAACTCAGCAGGATCTGGCTGGACCACTGGTGGTATGTCATCAGTAACCTTCTTCTTGACTTTTGGCTTTTTTGAAGATGATGCAATGTCCTGCAGTTTAAAATCCATGTCAGGAATATAGAAAGACCAATCATGTTGCAGCTGAATTCCAAAGCATACTTACATTAGGAATGGAGTTGAGTTGGTGAATGGAGTTCAGCTGGTGATCTTGAGTTCCATCATACTCTCTATGACCTTGCTTGAACACAGGTACACTTGACCCAATGGGCTTGCTTTCAAACACTGTATTTTCAGAAGTTTGCTTCTTACCTGAGAAACTTGAAAAATGCACAGTAAACAATAAGCACAGCACACTAAGTTTCATGTACAAATGATAATGCAGCACAGAAAAACAAAATTATGGAACAGCATACACTCAAAGTAAAACACCCAAAGATATTTCAATATATCTAAATTAAACTCGTAAAATATAACACTTCTTCACCTGATCACTTGTCTTTCTAGTTATTTCATAAGTTTTGACTAATTGTCACCACAAAAACAAATACTTTAAATAAGTTATGAAGGCTGTTCTTCTGCTTCATTATTTAACTCCCAATTCTATTTACCAACCAAATTGAGACATCATATCTGATTAAAACAAAAAAAAAAAAAAAAAAATGGACCTTGCTGAACACAGGTACCTGACCCAATGGGCTTTTGCTATTATAACACTGTAATTTTCATAGAAGTTGCCTTCTTACCTTGAGAAACTTTGAAAAATGCACAGTACATAACAACAGCAACAAAGTTTTCGATGTACAATGATAATGTCAGTCACAGAAAAATCAAAAATTATGGAACAGCAAATACACTCAAAAGTAAATACAAACTCCCAAAGAATATTTCAAAAATCATGATCTAATAAATCTCCGTTAAAATATGAACACTCTCTTCAAACCTGATCTGACGTTTGTCTTTTTTCAGTGTAATTTTTCATATAAGTTTGACTAATTTGTCACTCTGACAAAAACAAATACTTTAAACATTAAGTTATGAAGTGCCTGTTTCTTCCTGCTTCATTTTAAACCCCCAATTTCTTATTTACCACCAAAATTGAGCATCATATTCTGATTAAAACAAAAAAAAAAAAAAAAAAAAAGCTAAACGATATCCCTCCAGTCAGGTCTTTTTAAGTGATCGTGATATGCATGTAATAAGTACAATCCTCCATTGGTTTGATATATATACATAAGACTTACTATGAAATATCTGGCACATCAATTGCTGCTAAAAAAAAAAAAAAAAAAGCTAAGATATTTCCTCCAGTCAGGTCTTTTAAGTGATCGTATATGCATAATAATTAATCCTCCATTGTTTGATATATATACAAAAGACTTACTATAAAATCTGCACATCATGCTGCTTATCTTTAACATTGTTTTATACAGGAGCAATACGAATAGCTCCAAGTCAAACAAGTAATCTCAGACAACCAACCACATATAAAATATAATACATCAGTTTCCTGCTATAAAGTCTACAATATCTAGAGTAATGCTACTGATTTTTCACACTGAAAGATATTCTAAGTTTAAAGGGTTAATCTAAATAATTCACGCTAATCTGCCTAACAACATGCATCCGAATTTCTAGGCAGAAAATGAATTATATATTGGCTCACTCACCTATACAGTACACTCATAAACAACAAATATGCTTGAGTAACAGAAAAACAAACTGAAAGTAAAATAGTGCTTTACTTTGTTTACCAGGAGTTACATGCTCGAATGCTTCAGGATTACATTGGAGAGGAGTTACATGCTCAAATGCTTCAGGATTACATTGGAGAGGAGTTCCATGTTCGAATGCTTGGGGATTACATTGGAGAACCTGGTCATAAAGCTCTAAAGGCTCCACAAATTCAGATGGACATGGCCTTGTCTCGTGTCTAAGGTTCCTGAAAACAACAACAACTATAAACAAAGCGCCACTAACACAATGGAATCAATGTAAGAATCGGAAAACAAATTTAAATCTCGTGGAATATCCACAATATGTATAGTAGGATTAACTAAGAAAAGGCAACATAAGTTCTCAAAAAACACTGAATCAAGTCTGTGAAGTTGAACTGATAACTGCCTTGACTTAATTTGACCAAATTTGGAAATCAAGTCGTTAACTGGATCAAGTCCTCATATAAAACATAACTATAGCTCAAAAAAATATAAGAGAAGTTCTTACAGATACGAAACGTCAGTTTCTCGAAGCAGATCAGCGATACGAACAGACTGAGAGAGAATTTCACTTCGATTCAAAGACCAAGCAGTAGCTTCATCGAACAACCGAAGGTTTGGATCCGATGCGCCACAAAACACCGGAAGCGACGGCAACGGCAAGCAAGGCGCAACCTCCGAGTGAATAGTGTTCGAAAGCCCTATGCCCCAGACACCGGAGCCGGTAGTATGTGAATTTGAATTGCTCATCGATTGATAAACCGGTGAGTTAACAATTGGCACAGTGAAAGCATGAACATAGAGTGATGTAGAGTAGATTGGAAGTGGTAATAATGTAAAAATGCGGAAGCATGGGGTAATTAGAGAAGAATTAGGGTTTTGTCAGTTGCAGAGAGAGTTGTGAGCCCTAGAAAGAGAGAATTTGGGAGAGAAACGGAGGATGCAAATGGCGGGGAAAGTTATTTTTTGGGGATTTTTGGGGGGCAAAGTGGATTTAGTTTTATATGTGTGGAAAAAATTAGAGCTAAACTTGCCTAAATCACGAAAATGCCCTTGGTTGACCCTGTTTTACTTGCCCGGTTCAGCGTTTTAGGTAGCTCAGAATAGGCGAAGTTACTGAAATGCCCTTTGGTTTGTTGTTTGTGTAGCCAGCTTGTCGGGGACGTTTATTGTATTTTAAATATTTTTGTCTCGTTAACGACTTTTTACCCTTTGCTTTCGAGAATGAATTTAACCTCCAAATCTTTTGAATTTATGAAAATTTTAGAGGATAAATACTCCGTTTGATCCCTCCACTTACTTTTAATATTCAATTTACTTTAAATCGAATTTTTAGATCAATTAAGTCATGAAATTTCATTTAAAAGCCAATTCACTTTTGTTTTTGGCTGATCAGCTCCTCCTCATTTAAGTGAATAGAGAAATTATGATCAACTCAGTTTGCTTTTCATCTCAATTTTATTTTTCACTTTTTTATATTTTCTCGTCATCGAGACATTGTAATCAAGAGTGAAAAAAGCATCAAAGTTTATTTTTTCATTCTTCAAGCTATTTAAGACATTGTGGAAAATAAATGAATATCTATATTTTGGTACCTTTTTATAAATTTGTGGTTATTATATTATTTTTATAAATGCAAACTGTATAAACGTTGAATTGCAAAATTGGATTACAAAGAGAAAACGACTTGTCTTTTGTCATTTTTATTTTACTTTTTCTTTTTAAAATTATGCTTCACTCTATTATAAGTACTACCTTTTTTTTCATGTGAAAAAGGCGCCAGTTGATTGTAAATAAAATCTCATGGCTTATGATCTAAAAGTCAATTTGGACCAAATTGAACATTGAATATAAGTTGAGGGGTCAAATTGTATATTTATTCAATTTTTAACTGCTCAGTTGGAAATTGACAAATAGAGACTTAATTTGCTTTCTAAATATAATTTGAACCATTTATTGGCTTGAAAAGCATCTTGCTTGTAGTGGATAATTTTGAACTACATTTTTTATTAGCAAAAATTAACTTCATTAATTAAAAATTCAAAAAAAAAAAAAAACTTAACAAACTTCAGTAAGTAAACCCAAATCAAAGTCAATAGACTTTCCAAAACACCCGAACCAAACTAAGGAACGCTAACTTAAAAAAATATCGATTAAAATACATTAAAACAAATAAATCTTATATAAAATATGTATTCTTGCAATAAATTAATTCTACCAATAACTTATATAAATATGCTTGTGGTTGACATGACAAAGAAATGAATATAAAAAACCTAATACAAAATTTGAACAGAAAATTTAATTATTCTCTGAATTTATTGTCCCTAGAGAGAACATTTTCCATTTCGCTCTCCTCCTCGTCCTCAAATTCGAGATCTATAATTTTTATCTTTTCTTTTATTTGAGACGTTGATGTCTCGAGTTTATGAATAATTTTGCAGGCAACAGAATTTAAAATCTGAAAAAAAAAATTAACAAGGTTATACAACATGTAAAATTATAATTCAGAAATCACATAAAAAAATTAAAACAAAAAGCAAATTAAATTTACATTTTCTTGAGCATCTTCGTCTTCTTGAAAGACTTGAGGATTAACCCTAAACTCATGTACAGTCCATTTAGATTTAATTCCTTTATTAGGCCTTCCATGGTAGAAATCGAGTGTTCTTACAAAACCAACAAGTTTATTCTTGTCGTAGATGGATCCAGTAGAAGAGACATGATAGAAACCATCTTCCGTTAAAATTCTGCCTTTTCTTCTGTTGGAAAAGAAATACCGTTCGTTTGGCATTCCATGCGTAAATTCACCTGTAAAAAGTTCAGAAATTTAAATTCTATAGTTAGAAAATTTAGTAAATATTTTTTATTTAATATATTAAAATAAAAATAATATATTCACTTAAAAATTAAAACAATAGTATATATGTAAAAACAATTAGCGTTAAACTCTGCTCTGAAAATATTAGATAGATTTAATAGCGGTTGAAAGCTGGTAGTTAAAACGCGGACACTTCAAAAAACGCCAGTTCAAACAGGGACACTTCAAACCACTATATTGTGAAACGCCTACTTAAGTTATTGTCCAACACAACTTAACTCAAGAAATTGATTATTCACAGCTAATAATAACAAGATAAAGATCAAGAAATTGAACTTACTCAATGGAAGCTGATCTGGGTTGCAGGAGAAAACATCAATGGTGGGGATTATATTAACAGGAAGTTCTTTTCCCAGTATCTTATTCTTCAAATAATAAAGAATTAATTCTGAATCTGTTGGTCTAAACCTGTACCCAGATGGTAGAACAAGCTGCTCCATTCTTAAATCAGCTCAACAAAAATTAAGAATTTGAATAATTTAGCTTATGAAGTAAACCTACAGTTGTTTGGTACGAGAAAGCTTTGTGTTCTGAGAGGTTTATATATAGAACGGCACGCAGGATTGAAGAGGAAGTTGAATAGGAAAGAATATTATGGATCTTCTGAATCTATAAGTCAGAGAATTAAGTACTTGACGACATGTAGTAGGACTTTATTCTAGACAGGAAGGTAAGAATTGAATCCAAACAGGAAAACAATTACAGATTCAATATAAACAGAACATGGAAACTGCAACAACTCTGTTATTTGGAATTAGATCTGAGATCAGAAACCCTTGAAACCAGTTTCTCGTAACAAACATGGGACAATCATCAAGATTGAAGGCTGCGCGAACCTGTACCGCGAGTAATAAATAAAAGACGATATATATATATATTTTTTTTTTCTGTAGCTTATTATTGGCTCGGACGCTCGGTCGTTCAGTCTCTTTCAACGATTGCGATGTCGATATGTTACTACTTTTTAGAGGAAACAGAACTCAATTTGCTTCTTTGACTTGCACCCATATACAATTATTTAAAAATTTGAGCTCTTCCATATCAATTCAGTCACGAGATAGTTATCAACCAACTTAATCTCACTTTTAAATTTCATTTTTTGAATTTCCATTTTTATGAATCTCAAAGTTTCTCATACAAATTTCAGACAGTAGATTGATCATGAGAAGTCTGTCTTTAATTTTTTTTTACTCTTTGAACAGTAGATTAGATGAAGCTAAGTAGAAGGTAGGCCGCTATAAGGGCATTAATAGGCACGAGATGAGTTTGCTTCTGCAAAAATTGTGCCCTTCCATCAATTTGTGATTGTTGAATTACGAGAAAGAAAACTAATTCTTGGTAGAACAGCAAGATATATATATATATATATATATATGCGCATGCAAGTCGCATTTATTTCATTTGTGTCTCCTCAACTTAGTACTAACACTTTAAATTTTAATTTGTAAAAAACAAAAATCAAAACCTAGTCGTCTCTCATCCTCTTTCTACTCTCTCAGAATTTTTCAAGATTTTACTTCGTTCATTCAGTCACCATCGAAATTTTTTATTTAAATTTAAATAAAAATTTAAAATAAACAATTAAATTAAATTGTGTTTATTATATTTGTATCATATTTCATATATATATATATATATATGGTATATGATGTAATTTCTTATTTTATTCAATGTACTTTATATTTAAATAGAAAATTAACATGATCAATAAAAAATTAAATTGCTTTTATTTTTCAAGTTGGTTCCCTTTATGTTTTTCCCCTGATTTTAATTAATTTTCTTTTCAATAATTTCAAGATTCTTGATTTTTAGTCTCTCAAATTTGTATATTGAGTGTTTTTGCACCCTCTTAGTTGGATTAAGTGTTTTTTTCACTCTCACAGTGGGATTTTATTGTATTTTTCTCTCATTTTATTCACATAGTAGTTCTTTTGATTTAGTATCTCATGGATTGTTGATTGTTGATTACTTTTGATTCAAGAATATAAATCTTTAAGTTCAGATAATGATATTGGAATGAGAAAAATTGTTTGACATTTTTTAATTCTTGTGCGATGGAAAAAGTTTATTTTATCATCTTATTTGAAAAAGCATCAGAAGATTTCAATTTTTTATATTCATATTTCTTATTCTGTAAATATTATTATGTATTCACATTATTATTCTTTATTAATAAATTGTCATTTTTCTTAAAAAAAAAAAAAACTAGAGATATATTGAATATTGAATCTATTATGGGAAGTACTTGCCTTGTGTTTTAATCTTTTTAGCAATATCAGCTATTGTAGTAGTTGTTAAAAAAAAAAAAAAAACTATAAAATGTTAGAGTATTTAAATTTTCGTACAAAACTATCTTAATTTTTAAAAACGTAAAAAAGACTAAAAAAATGTTAAGAGTATTTAACGTTCGTACAAAATAATTTTAATTTATAAAAATTATTATAAAAACTATATTAACTGACGCTACGCTACAATTAGTAGAAATTGAATTTTAACTTGATAAACAATGCTAGAAGCTAACTCCAAATTTGTTGCTAAACGAGCCTTTACATTAATGCACCCTATTTTTTTTAGCGCGGCTTCTATTATAAATGGGCTTGCCGCCAGAGTACATCCTATGCAGTCCAGCGAATGAGATCATTGGTTTATAAGTTTTTATTAAATGGGCTGTTCTTGGGCCTTTTCTCTTTTTATGGAATCCTTGTGCTTTTCTTGACATAAAAATCTCACAGGATGATTTTATGTATTGGCTATCTGCACAAATTTAGAAACTAAATTTATACGGACGTATACATCATTTGCCCCTGCACCTGCACAAAAAAATCTTGCGGCCCCTTTTGCTTTCAAAATGATCTTATAACACTTTAAAATTGTAAAGTTATTAATATCACACCCATATTAATCCAGTCAGCAACACGTGAGAAAATAAATTATTTTCCTGTTCGTGAACTTGTAAAATATTCCTAGATGACATTTAAAAAAAAAAAATTTATTACTAAGTTAATTAGAATATTATTAAACTTATTTTTTTCTTTCTCTCATCCTATTTTCTTTCTGCAAATTCACGCTAGATTTGGATTATTCCCAAACTAAACCAATCTCATCTCTCTGTTACGATGGCCGAAGTTGATGAAAGCGGTGGCCAGAGGTGCTGCTGGTGATGTGAGGTGGTCAGATCGGTGGAGCTTTGAGCTTCAATGAATGAAAAACGAAAGGAATAAGGGAGGGGGGTTGTTGTAACACCCGCCGCCCAGTCTCGAAAGACCCGACGGCGGATGCCACATTTGGTGCCGGAGACACCGTCTTAACTTAACATATAAATCATAAGACTAAAATTTATAATTACATACTTCAATTATATTTCAAATAACATAATATCTGAAAATGTAACAATTATACATGCCATCATTCTTCATTATATAAATCTCAATCGGCCGATCATTCTTCATTGATATTGAAATCTCAATCGACCTACTACCAAATTAAGTCACTTTTGCTCTTCCAAATTCTCAAGTGAAAGTTTAGCAACCACCGATCTCAACCTACACGTGATAAAAAATCGACGCACGAGTAATGAAAACTCAGTGGGTGCTCATTAGTTCAATACTATAACCAAAGTTGCGATTGGCAACTTACTTTAAACAAAATTTCGTAAAATCAATTGATAATCATAAAAATCATTAAATTCAACATACATTTACATGTGTATAGCCAAAAGGAAATATTTCAAATAAACTCGTTAAACTTTAATAAATAAAATCTTTAATTCATTTATACCAATAAATTCCTTTGACTTTAAACATTGTAAATGCACATATGAAATACCGTTTAGTGTTCTTTACTGTAGAATATCAAATTTAAACTTATATTATAACGATAACTTATAATTAATAACATAAATAATTTAATTCTTCCAAATCATAAATTCATTACTTGAACATTTATTATACCAATACACATACTATTTATTTTAAAAACATTTACCGGAATATCATGTTTTGAAAATTCATTTGATAACATAATCATTAAGTTCCAAAGTAAGGTTTAGTAAAATATTGTAATCTCATTCGTTTACTTGCCTTAAAAATATTTTCCAAGTGCTCGCATACACTTAGGAGAAAGAGAATCAAATAGGTTTTCATAGCTTATTTATATTGGCCTTAGGTCACCAACTTATTCATAACGGCCTTAGGTCGCCACCTTATTCATAATGGCCTTAGGTCGCATCAAATTCACACCAAGTATATTGGAGCCCAAAATCTTTATTTTCATTCTTAATTTATAACACTTCTCATAAAACTTGTCTTATTCCTTAGTCTTCTTGAAATCATAATGGAAGCTTACTTTAGAACTTAAGTAACTCATGAAAAAGAGCCCCCAAAAAATGCCTTGTTTTAATTACTGTACTTCATATGCACTTTATCAGGAAAAACTTGTCTTATTCTTTAGTCTTCTTGTTTAAATTCATAATGTAAGCTTACTTGTAGAATCAGACCTTAAACATAATTGACTGAACATAGACGATGTTATTATGCATAGTGGAAATCATTACATGCTAAAGCTTGACTTCAGACTTAAGGTAACTCATTATGACTTTAAACATAATTACGTTAAGTATAGGAAATTGGATCATTGAAATCCCTTTTCTTTTTAAACTTTTCTGTAAAGTCATAAATGAATTTATCATAGAGAAAGTTTCTTATCATATAAAATCATATTTTCTTGTTCGAACATGCAAAGCACATACCACCATAAAGTTACACATTTCGTTGTTAAAACTCTAAGCAGGTATATAAGCTTATCAAAATAATCATACTTTATGTTCATTAATATATTTTAAAATAATTAAATAAGCTTACTACACTAAAGGTGGTACCAAGGGGAGGAATTAGAGCGCGTCCGCCCTAATAGAACAGAAGACACCCACGTGCCTAGCATATGATCATAGCTTCTTATCATAATGGCATCAAATGCCGAGCATGCTCATCAGATAGAATAAAATCAAATCACGCATCAATTTCACACCAAGTATATTAGAGCCCCAAAATCTTTATTTTAATTCTTACTTCATATACTGCATAACATTTCTCATAAATTTATTTTCTGTAGTATTTGTACAATCATAATGAAAACTGAATTTAAATTAAAGTAATTCATGCAAATTCTCACACTTAAACAAAATTACTTAACATAGGAAATTTCCAGCATAAAAGTAACCTTGACCTTTGTTGAGTTTTTACAACATAACTTGAGTTATATATCTCCAAATTGAATGAAATTAGATTCAGTAGAAAGATCAGACAAAATGCTACGATTGTTATGAAGGAACCAGAACCCAGATCAATATGTAAGATAGCAAAAAGAAGCTAGGAACACAGATTTACAGTCCAGACCTGATTCAGCAGAACCAAGTCCAATGTTTATTGAATTACTCCTTAACCAGACACTCAAATTAAACCAATCCAACACCAGGTAAATTTCAAGACACAGGGCAACAAATCTCATGAAGAAGAGCTCAACACCTAATCTTGCCATTATGGCGGTCAAAATAGTCACTCAATCTATTGCTGCATGTGGTACGTTACAACAGAGTCAGTTTAGGTGTTTTAGTCATAAGTTGAGCTATATATATCAAAATTGGGAGGGAGGCGTGTGAAAAGCTAAGAAAATATACTACAACTTTTATGAGAGGGACTCAAATAGCAGAGGGGACTCAGACACAAAGGAAAACTCGAAAGGATCGAAAAATAGTCCTTAATCTCACTCAATAACATTTTTCCCAATTCAGCTTACTTAAATCATATACAAGGTAGAGATTTCTACCACATACTCAATACTCATCAAATATCATCTTAAGATCACAAATCCTCAAAGAATTACAAGAAAACTTAAGGCCTTATTCATCAATAGGTTCTGCCACTCTTGGAGGATGAAGAAGAAAATGTTTTCCTCATCAATTCAACATATAAGTATGCTTAGAAATCTCCCAAGAACACATGTATACCACCAAAAGTCAATAATCAAATTATTTCATATAAAATTTCCAATTTTCACAAAATAGTATAAACTTCACAAAATCAAAAATTTAAACAAGGTAAGAGGATTTATGAAGGAGTTATGAACACTGTACCTTAAGACCATAAGCTCTAACCAAGCTTAAATCAAACTCTTTGAGCCTTGATTTTCCCTTGTCTGTGGTGGTTAGGAAGTGTTGGCTCCACCCTTTGTCCTCCAAATTACTTGAAGATATTCAACTAATATATCATTTCTCAAGCTTTTAAAACGTGCTAGGGAATTGATGTCCTTAAATCAAGTTTAAGAATGGGTGAATGTTGATGGATTTGGCTAAGGATGAAGTGTGAAGGAAAAACAAAAGAGAAGAAGGAAAGGAAGAAGGGAGATAAGCCAACGCCAAAGAAGGAAGAAGAAGGAGAAAAGTGAAAGTGGTTGCTTCCCAAATTATTGAGCACAAGGATATTTTAGTCTTTTCTCAACATTGGGAATGGCTAGGATTGAGTCAATGATCTAATGGCTACAAATATTCTCCAAATTAAATTCTTTTGTAAAATATGTATTTAACAGCAATAAAATCCACAATAAAATCCTCCAAAATTAACTGCCATAGAAAATGAATTCATCTAATTTCCGTAATTAATAATAACACCATGTCAAATTTACTCCATACAACATATTGCCTCTAATGTTTTCTTATTAATATCACTGCCTTATTAAACTATTCACTGAATTTTCTAGAAATTCTCCAAAAAATATTCATTACTACTTTCTTCTACCCATAAAAATAATGTGTATACATTTACTCCAGAATATTAGAGAAGAAGAAAAATATTAAAACATACATAGTAAATTTGTTCCGGACAAAAATAATATTTTTCCGGACAAAAATAATATTTATTCCCGGACCGATGATACTATTCACAGACCGATAACTTACTATTTCAGACACAGAAAAATGGGGCGTTACAGTTGTGGTGTGATCGGGAAGGGGGAGAAGGAATTTTGGGTTAATTGTTGGTTTGGTTCAATTTTGATTTGATTTGACTCGATTCATGAATTTTTTGTTGCATATTCAACGTGGCAAAATTAATTGTGACTTGGAATTGTAATTTTCCATGTCATCCGAGCGTGTTGTGCACAGCCAGTTTACAATTTGTGTGCAATTATTATAAAAAGTAAAATTCAGGTACCACAAAATCACTTTAAAAAGTAAAAGAAGCCACAAGACTTTTTTTTACGCAAATTCAAAGGATAAAATATGTATTCAGCCAAAATTATATTAAGTGACAATGACATTTATGTTAGTTAAAATCTTATTTAAAAAAATCATATTTTAAAGTTTTTTTTAAGGAACATTTTTAAGTTAATGGAGTTGCATTACTTTCCTGCATAAAGAAAAACTTGTAAAAAAATTTACAATAAAATATTTCGTCACTTAAATTATATAAAACTAATATTTCAAAAAAAAAAACTAATTATTTCAAAGAAAAAAAAAAAAAAAAAAAAAAAAAATATATATATTATATATATATATATACTATATATAATAGATATATATATATATGTTACAAGTGTGTTGAGAAAGAAATTCAAGGTATTGAAGATTCAGAAAAATTAGTTATTGTTATATGTTACAAGTTGTTGAGAAAGAAATCAAGGTATTGAAGATTCAGAAAAATTATTATTTTGATAATTAATTAACAAACTAGTTACTGATATAAATATTTATAGCTTTTCTTAATATTGTCTTCAAGTGGAAATATCTAATATTATATATTTTAATTTTAATTTTATTATTAAAAAATATAAATTATTTTGATTTGTTAAAATGTCAAGCAAGTAAAGTTCTACTTATGTATATGAGTAATTTGTAATACTTTATATAATTATTTTTAATCGATTATATTTTTTAAAAAAATTATAAATAAGTGTCAGTTTCACATAAGACAAGGCTCTAGATCTCATTTCATACTACTTAATTTGTAATACTTTATATAATTATTATTAATGGATTATATTTTTTAAAAAAATTATAAATAAGTGTCAGTTTCACATAAGACAAGGCTCTAGATCTCATTTCATACTACTTATCCATGTAAATCTATCATGGAATATTTGTAATAAGAAATTAAATATATACCCGCAGAAGTAGAAAATCAAAAACCTCAGGGAGGTTTTTGATATTAAAGAAACGTTGAAGGATTAAAAAAAAACATGGTACGAATTTGAAGACCACATTGCAAATTTGCAATTACCATTTACTTCAGCTAATCATGCGTAGGACAAAAGGCTCCAATTACAGAAGAAAGAAATAATCGCTCACATATTCTGTATCTGACGCCTGACTTTTCGCTCTCTGTCTCTCTCTCAAGACCAGAAGATCGCTCTCTGGCTTCAACATCACAATACAAAGGGTTTTACCATCTCTGCAACAGCCTAGGTACCGTTTTAATCTCATCTCCGATCTCTGTTTCTCCCAATTTGCCCTCTTCTTATATATGCTCTTTATCTCTGATTTTCTTTCGCAGATTTTAGTTATTGATCTATTGAATTGGAATTGTGGTTCGTTTCTGTACTTTTTTGGTGATAATCAATTTTATCATTCTTTTTTAATTTTTAGTGCTTATTTTTTTGAGGATTGCGCTTTGTACGTAAAGATCAAAATTTTTATACTTTTTCTGGTTAAGTTTGTTACGTTGATAATGTTTTCATTTGGGTTTTCCTTATCATTGAGTGGGTCGAAGGTTGTGTAGGCTTTTATTGCTTAGTAGTAATGGGCCAAATTTTGCCTTTTCTTTCAGTGTAATTAACATTTTAGCTAATGATAGTTTATTTGCACATGATTTCTGTTTATATTGTATTCTGAGATGATTTTTTAATCTTGCTGCAGTTTGTATTGATGTTTGATTTGATTTGGGAGTTCTTGTCATAACTCTGAGCACTTGTGCTGTTTTATAACTGGAGCTGATTTTTCTAGTTTTTAAATCAACTAAGTTGAAATTTGCAACAAAATTATAAATGTATTTGTCGGGCTTTTGTTTTGGATTTGAAATATAAGTATGAGATCAACGTAATTTTTTGATTGTCAACTTTGTTGGGTTAGTTATTATCCCTGCTCTACATTTATGTTTTGTCTTTTGTGTGCCTCTATTCATATGCTTATTATTTAAGTGGGATAGATGGTTTTGAGGCTATGTTTGATGAGCTTTTAATGGAATGTAATCAAAGACATTTTCCTTTGATTATATTATGTTCTGTTCGATTATGGCTCATCCAAACTTACTCCAAGTGTAGTCTATATTTGTAATCTACCTCATTAGACTGCATTAGTACAAAAATAATACCTGTGATTTATTGAGTTTTAAGAGTAAGCCTTTAGCTCCTTTTATCAGAAGCCATATAAGAACTGAACATTTGAATTAGTAGAAATTATAGCATACATTGAGCGTTTTTCAGATAGAAATCTTGATTCATGGAAAAAAGTTGAAATACCCATTTTGGTTAGTTCAGCTTTATTGAACTTGTATCAACTGTTTATAGCATCTAAATGGTGCAGGTTATGTAACTTTGTTTTCTACTTTCATCATGCTTAGTTTTGAGCTTGAAAGCTGTTATGTAAGTTGGTTTTTATCTAAATGATGTATTATGTTTTTTTTTTTCACAGGGAAGTATTCAGATTCTAGTGCATCTAGGTGCTTTAAAGGCTGTAAATGTTACAGGGATATAGCTGCTTTTAATTGTTGTTTGGCTATCTGAAAATGTTATATGACGAAGTCCTGAAGGCTGTTTTTCCTTTGCTGGATGGCATAGACCTTGCTTCTTGTATGGTAGTTTGCAAACAGTGGAGAGATATAGCCCAAGATGATTACTTTTGGAAATGCCTATGTGCCAAGAGGTGGCCTTCAATTTGCAAGAGGCCTAACCCTCCCACTGTAACCTACTACAAGCTATATCAAATATTTAATAAAAGACAGCATCGCCAATCCCTGCTTCCCCCAAGGCTTTCTTTTGATGATTTAGAATTTTTCTTCGATATTTGGACTGATGAAAACAATGAAAATTTGATATTCTCAGAAGTAGTCCCTGGCCCTGTTTTGTTGGCTGGAATCAAAGTCCCACCGCCTGGAATTTGCGACATACTTAAATTTCACCTCGAAGGTCCTGATTATAAAATGACTCTACCTCTTGAGCCACGGGTCAAAATCCCTTTGAGCCAGACTGTTAGTGTTTCAGTGCTTGTAGGGCGCAAAGATTCCAACAAAGTTGCTTGTGTAATTAATAGATCGATGTTTGAATATATAGATCGATCAGCCTATAGGGCTATGGCGTTCGAGTACCTTGATTTCTCCCCAGCACACCCATTCGTTCCTGGTATACGAGCATGGATTTCCTTACTCTTCATGGACGACGGAAGAGATGAGGGTGTTATAGATGTTTTTGGGATTGAAATGGATTTCCGTGATGCTGCAAACTCCAGGGAGGAGGTATTGTGGTTATTAGACATGCTTGATTGGAAGTGAAGGTGTTGAACTGTGATGACGAAGCTAAGATACAAGGCACCTATCTCTATCGAATCAGGCATGATGTCTATGGAGAAGACTTCGAGCTGTCTATCCACGGTGTTGGTCTGACTTTGAGTTTCATCATTAAAATTACATATTCAAAGTTTGTAAATGTTTTCTTATTTGTAGTCATCAATTCATATGGAGTCATGGACATAGTTTCTGTTGAAGGTCCTGTGACATTGTTCTTACTGATAGGTTCCTGCTTCCTCGTATCAAACATTTGTAATAATAATATGCTTGCATAATTCAGCTGTGTTCATTAGAGTGAGTTAAATGTGCTATTGTTAGTTATTTTTCAGCATCAAGTGAAATCCACCACTATAGGTGCCGGGTTGGAGCAGGCATGGTGACCATTTTGGGTCCTCACCTGCTGGTGGCTTGTTTCCTGTGGCCTTTTTGGTTCTTTGAGTCTGAGTCAAAAGTTTCAAAGAGGGGCTAGGGATAACCAATCATTGGTGGTTTTATTAACAGTATTCGTATCTAACTTCTATAAATGGGTTTAGAATTTCTTTTATTTATTTGGTTGGAATGAAAATAAAAACAATTAACTTCAAAAAATTTTATTTTTAAAATAAAGAAATAAATAAAATGTATTGATAATCTGAAAAATTATCTAATATGTTATATTAAAATAAAGAAATAAATAAAATTTATTGATAATCTGAAAAATTATCTAATATGTTATATTAAATTATTAATGGGTGTGAAAAACAAAGTTCTCCTAGTTTTTGCAGTGACAGGTACTGGTTACTGGAAAGAAATCATGTTCCTGACATGTTAAATTGCAAGTTTCTCAATGTATATATGTGTATCCTCTACAAGAATGGTTGATAAAAGACATTAAGCATAAAGCAAACACAAGAAACAAAAGAGTGAAGCTTGAGAGCAAGTGAAAACAAATCAGTAAACCAAAAATAGCTAATAGGTAATAGTATGACAACAAATATTTAAAACCAATGTTAAAAACACAAACTTGGATTCCAAAGATTCTTAACTTCAAGATTCAAATGAGGAGCAATGCAAATAAAGACGATTCCAAGACTTCTATATATAAAGCAAAATTATCAGAGTTAAAAAAACAAAAAACACCTGAAACCTGAAAGCAGTGAAAAAAAAAAAAAAAAAAAAAGATATGCCCTGAACCTGAAAGCAGTGAACAAAAAAAAAAAAAACAAAAAAGATATGAGACAGAGTTCATATTCTTAAAAGCACTTATATACCTTACATTGGGTATTTCCTGCACAAGGCCATGTGATTCCTTTTAATTTGGAAGGGCTTTCGAACAGCCGGATGGCGAAATATGGATTCCTAAATTAGTCAAATTTTTGTGAAATCCATCGAATAATATTATCACAAAAAAGGGTAATTTAATTGCATTTGAGAGAATAAGGGATTTAGTCTGAAAAAAAAAAAAAAAAAACAAAAGATATGAGCAGAGTTCATATCTTAGCTATACCTTATCCTGCACAAGGCCATGTGATTCCTTTAATGGAGCTTTCGCAGCGATTGGCGAAATATGGATTTAAAGTCACATTTGTGAACACTGAATATAATCACAAAAGGGTATTGAATGCATTGGAGAATAAGGATTATGTTAGGAATCATATTAGTCTAGTTTCAATCCCAGATGGGTTGGAACCTTGGGAAGATAGAAATGATTTAGGGAAGTTGACTGAAGCATTTTTAAAGGTGATGCCTCGAAAGCTAGAGGAGCTAGTTGACAGAATAAATGCGTCAGAAACTGAAAAGATTACTTGTATTATAGCTGATGGAAGTATGGGATGGGCTCTTCAAGTGGCAAAGAAGATGAAAATTCGCCGAGCCGCCTTTTGGCCTGCATCAGCTGCATTACTGTCTTTGTCATTGGCTATACCAACTTTAATTGATGATGGAGTCATTGACAATAATGGTAAGAATTTCTATTATAAACCTTCAACCTGTTTTACTGCAATATATAAAACAAGCTATTTAGATTAGCAATTGAATGATTTGAATTCTGCATAACACTAGTAATGGTCTAAATATGAAATCACATGTTTCAAATTTTCAATTTGTCAAGGATCTCTACTGAAGAACCAGATGATTCGGTTGGCTCCAACAATGCCTGCTATAAAAACTGCGGATCTAGTATGGGCTTGTATTGGTGACTTGACTACACAGAAAGTAATATTTGATGTCTCAGTTGCAAACAACAGGGCTATGAAATTGGCTGACTGGATAATTTGTAATTCGGTATATGAACTTGAACATGGAGCTTTTACATTGTCTCCTAAGATTTTACCCATAGGACCGCTTCTGGCAAGCAATCGACTAGCAGACTCCTTAGGCTATTTCTGGCTTGAAGATTCAGCTTGTTTAAAATGGCTGGACCAGCAACCAACTAAATCAGTAATTTATGTTGCATTTGGCAGCTTCACTATTTTTGACAAAACCCAGTTCCAAGAATTAGCACTAGGACTTGAACTTTCTGGCAGGCCATTCTTGTGGGTTGTGAGATCGGATATTACTACTGACGGAAATGCTTACCCTGAAGGATTTCAAGGGAGGGTAGCTACCTATGGGAAGATGGTGACTTGGGCCCCTCAACAGAAGATTCTTTCTCATCCTTCTATTGCTTGTTTCTTGAGCCATTGTGGTTGGAATTCTACAATGGAAGGTGTGGCTAACGGAGTCCCTTTCTTGTGCTGGCCGTATTTTGCTGACCAATTTCTTAATGAAAATTACATTTGTGATATTTGGAAAGTGGGATTGAAATTTAACAGAAACGAAAGTGGGATCATTACAAGAGATGAAATTAAGAATAAGGTGGAACAAGTTCTGAATGATGAAAAGATTATGGAAAGGGCTTCAAAATTTAAAGAAACAGCTAATACAAGTGGTGGAGAAGATGGTTATTCCAACAAGAATTTCAATAATTTCATTGAATGGATATTAAGGCTTAAAAGCATGTAGTTTTGGTTTATTCCAGCTTTAATCTTTCCATTCCACTTGTATGATTGCAGCATAAGAACAATAATATTGTTGAAAACATTTTAATGTTTGATATGATTTTTTTTTTTTCTGTATATTGTCTGCTTTACAATACATTTACAAATGATAAACCTGAAGACAATAACAATGGTGGTAACACCTGATTGACTATTTTAATAATCTACAAGAATTATTGATAATGAAGTTAAGCATGGAACCAACAGAAAAAAACAACAGATTTCATACATAAGTCATAAACCAGACACAAGAGCAAATAAGTCAAAAAACAAAAAGAATAAACAACTTGGTTACCTCATCGAAAAAACAATGATGGCAGATATATAGTTTGTAGTTACATTCAAATGCAGATCAATACACAAACAAGAAGACAATGCCTTGGGAATTAACTATTGATATTTCAGTATTTTCTCCTATATAAAATAGCACGAACCTAGTTATGAAATAGCACACGACGCCTGCAAAAAGTTCAAAACGGAAGAAAATCAAAGAACTATGGTTCCTTCGATGAAACTTTCACATTTGTTAGCATAGAGTACAATCACAAAAGAGTATTGAATGCATTAGCAGAAAAAGATCATCTTCTGCGTCAAATCTGTTTAGTTTCAATCCCAGATGAGACGGAACCCTGGGAAACAGGAATGACTTAGTAAGGTAACTGAATCAATCATTAGAATCATGCCAAGAAAGCTCGAAGAGCTCATCGACAGTATCTGAAGTTGAAAAGATTACTTTCATAATTCCTGATGAGGGCATGGGATGGGCTCTTGAAGTTGCAGAGAAGAGAAAAATACAAAAGACAGTCTTTCGGCTTGCATCAGCTGCAATCCCGTCCTCCGTTTCTAATGTCCAGAAGCTAATTGATGAGGAATAATTAACTCAATACACAATTAACCCGGCCAAATACATAAATATGCCCCTGGACTTTCATAAAAAAATCCTGTGACACCCCAAAGTCTGCGAATGATCGATTATGCATCAGAAGTTGTCAATTTCGTTATTTTTAAACACTCCACAGCCCTGCGTGAAAATCACTTGTCAAGTTGTGGCATTTAACTGTTAAAAATGTGGTAAATAACAAATTGAGGTGGACATTTTCGTACTTTCCACACTCTCCTTCTCCAATTTACCCACTACCATCTCTTCAGCGTGTCCTCTCTCTTTCTCTGCAACTAAATTGTTTCCTTTCCCTATATTCCCTTCATCGAATCTTTCAAATTATTCACATGGGCTTGCCTTTAATTTCAAATTAATGAATGAATGCAAATAAAATGCTAACTGGTTTAATTATCCATACAATCTTGATATGAAAAATGATGTAAGACTGAGAAATTTATCTAAATCTGCAAGTTTCCATTGAAAAAATAAATTGTAAAATCAAAAGTTATGGAACAATACTTTGATTGCAGAACACTATTTTATATAAATAAATTGTAAAATCAAAAGTTATGGAACAATACTTTGATTGCAGAACACTATTTTATATACTTTCTGAAAGAACAAAAAAGAAAGAATCATAGGAGAAAAGCAACTTCTTCTAATTACAGTTACACAAAAAAAAAAAAAACTACATCAAGGGAGGAGATTAAAACCGAGAATGGTAACTTGAATCCAGGCAGGACACTAAGTTGAATTAGATATATTCAATTCAAATCCCTCTCCTTGGAAAGTATCTCTCAATTGATTCTGAATCTTCATTTATAACTGGAAAATCTATCCATGCATATGTAATCTGAGATTCCAATTGAAGGCTAGACTTGCCTTTTTTTTTTTTTCACTATCAACGGTTCAAAATGTTGGGGACCATAAATTATTATTATTATTATTTTTTATTTTTTAAAAAAGAAGGACCACGATATGTAACAGATGATTAATTCATATCCATTGCAGCTGTGTCGGCAAAGAGTTTAAGTGGATTTATATATAAAATTCACAAATTTCTCCTGGTTTTAAAATGATTTTCATATAATGAATTATATATATATATATATATTGGAAGAGTTAAAAGGTGCTTAATAGATGCCCGGATTTAAAATAATAATAATAATAATAATAAAGCATATTATTTTTAAATATGTGATACGTGTTCGAGTGTATATAAGAGATGTTAATGTTTAACATGATTAAGGTATAAATATGTTCGATCTTCTGTAGTGTTTATATTTTTTAATTTATAAATAGTTAAAAATAAAAAAGAAAAACAGTCAAAATAAAGAGAGAGAAAGAAAAATATTCCGAGCACTAATTAATATAAGATATATTTAAAAGTGGAATATTATATATATTTTAAATGAATTTACTGAAATTTGATTTCAGACGTTCTTTTTAAAAGAAGTTTAATTAGATTTTAATGAGATTGAATGATAAGTTTGGTAAATGATAGAACAAACCCTTAATGGTCCTGGTTTGTAATCGCGGAATTAGCCGGTGGCCAGTGACGATAGCCGTCCCTTTAATTTTAATTTTTTTTTTAAATTTATCTTATAAAATATAAAATATTTACTTTTTTTTCTAACCTTCTTTCCTTTATTTTTTTATCCTTTGTTCAGTCAATTGGCGCCAATGAACTCCTCACTGGTCAGTGGTCATGAGTACCTTTCCTTTTTCTGCCTCTAAGTCACCATTCCCTTCATCATTAAAGTGTGTGCTTAATAATTATAGCAATAACTAACTAATTAAGGACATAAAACTGTTTTTCTGTTTTCCCTTTTCCTTTTTCAATCACATATTTGATTATTATTCCCTAACTCAAATCATTATTAGCATATAATTACACACTAATTGTTATTTGTTTCACTTTAGTTATATAAAGACTGAGAGATTTCAGGTTCAAGTTCTTTTGATTATAAAAATTTTCATCATTTTAGTGAGTAAAGAGGAGAACTACTCCTATTGTGTAGCCCATAACGTTCTTTCGGCACATTGAAAATTTCAATGAATCAAAAAAATTCAAATTAATAGATCTCAAAATGATATTTTTTATGAAAGATATTATAAATGGAAAATGATAAAAATAAACAAATGAATGAAAAGAAAAAAGGGGCAAAAGTCCCTTAAAAATTGGCTTTGGCACATGGGCTTTCTTTGGCAGCAGAGTAACTTGTCACTGTCATGACAATCAAAGTTATAGGCACTGAGGAGGAGAGAGAGGTGGCCATTTTTTTCACTTAGATATTATGCCAAATATCAGAAGGCACCCACTCTCTTTGCACTGCAACTTCTGTCAAGCTCAACTATGTGCACTGTCACTAACCGTTCTTACACTTCCTCCCTCCCATCCCATCTTCTTCTATACTTAACATCTTTCATTCTCAATCCTTCCTTCTCTTCTTTAATTATCCATTTTAGGTCAAAAGCTTCTGATGCTGAACAAACTATCTCCAGTCCTATAACAGGTTGCAAATGTAGAAACATAATGAAATAGTAGTCTTGGAAATATGTATACATCTTTTCTTTTCTAAGAATATATTTGATGTTGAAATCTAAGGCCTTGTTTGGTGGCAGGTACAAATAAACTCAGAAAATTGAGTTGACTTTATATTTAATTTGCGTTATCAATTTAATTAATTTTCAGAAAACGAACCATTCTACTTTCCGAAAGAATGAAGTTCCGTAAAAAAAATCTTAAAAAGTTGCACTTTTCTAATTAACTGAAACATATTTATTGATTTATAATTATCATTTAAATATGTTTAAATTATATAATATAAGTATTATACTTTTTTGTAATTTCATAGCAATTTACTTAATTTTTGAGAAATTAGCTTACATGCAAAGCAAAACTGAGTGCATGTCCAAATAAAAAAGAGGATTTCTAGTTAATAAATTAATTAACTTTCAAATCCCAATGCAAAAAACTGGGATTCTTTGATCATTGTCTCTAATTATGACAAAATTCTATATATATCCGAATTAAATAACACATATATAAATATATTAATTCAACTAAGTTATACTGAGAGTAATATAACATGCAATAATATGAAACTGTGATTTTGGATTTAATCAGAGCTAATTTAATGAAAAAAAAATATGTATTTATTTAATTAATAATTTTGATCAATGATATTATAGTACCACTTAGAACATTTAATGTAGAATTAATTAATAAACCAATTAAATATATATAATACTTAATTTTTTCTGCTAATAATTAAAATAAAATGAAGGGAAAAAGCATAAACATGAAACTAACATGAGAGCTAGCTTCTCAAAAGGTTGTGAGCACTATAATATATAGTAATTAACAAATTGCAAAAACTTAATTTCTTCTCTTCCATTTTCCCTTCAACCAAATTAACAAAGAAACATTTTTCCAAAAAAAAAAAAAAAAAAAAAAAAAAAAAAAAAACATTGTCCAAAAAAAAATAAATATAATTAAAATTATAGAAGCTAACCAATATGAGAAAAGAATAGAAGAAAATTATAATAAAAAAAAACACTAATAAAAGAAAATCTAGAATAAAAAAGCAAGAAAAAAAAAAAAAAAAAAAAAAAAAAAAAGAAAATCTAAATAAAAAAAGCAAGATAACCTTTTTTTTTTTTTTCTTTTTCACTAACAAATAGAGTCAGCAAGAATTATGATACAGCAGCATTATTAATATTATTGTCAGGTTGAGTAGTAGATCCATAAAACTCAATCAATCTCTGCAAAACAAAGACTTGGGTCCTCAAAAGGACAATGTAATCTGCAGTTTCTTGAAACAACTGCTCAGCCTTTACAGTCTCTCCATTGTTGGCTGGAATGAGATTCTTCAGAGCTTCCAGCTTCTCTGATACCTTAGACTTGGAGAAGCACGTGCGTCCTCCATTAATGGTGCTTCTTTTAGCTTTACGAAATCTTCTTTGACAAGTTGATGTTCTTCTTCTTCTTGGTGTCTTTCCTAGTGAAATCTTTGAATTCTTTGAGACTGAGCTCATGGCCTCTGGTTTATGTGTTTTACAGAGAAAGAGAAAGAGAAAGA